GTTTGCTGTTTCTGATCAGCTATGGGTTTAACATGGTTGGTGCAAACCTCCATACATAAGCATTCTTTTGGAAATCTGATGTAAGATTTCATTTAAATGAATGAATGAATGAATTAGTAAATATTACTGCATGGAGAACGAAATCTGATTGCTCGCTCAGAGCCAATTTTAGAATCTCGGATGATTAAAACACACGCACAAAAAAGCGCTATCGCGTGTTGGTATTCCAACAGTTTTCTTGCTAAACAAATATCCCAATAAGAGCCCTTATTTAATCGCGCATCCAATATAGAGTTATTATATCCGACTGAACACAGGGCATTAATTATAGCTATTTCATACCTGATATTTAACCTGTTTTAATAGATATTCCTTCCCAACATTGTTCAATTCGATTTTGTTTTACATTGCAGATATTGATGAATGCATTTTAAGGCCTTGCGATGTGAATGCCAACTGCACAAACACAATTGGTTCACACCTGTGTGAATGTCATATCGGTTATGAGAAAAATGGAACAAGATGTACCGGTAAACCTAGAATAATTTTTGAGAGGTTGGAATACCAATGTTGCTATATGTGCGAAGACGAAAGAGCAAGTATTCGTTGCAATTTATAAGAGATGCGTCAAGTATAATCAGTGTAAAAAAGGGTGATTATTTCTGATTTCAACAGATGTCAATGAATGTAAAGATTCTCCGTGTGATTTGAATGCAAACTGCAGTAACACTGTTGGTTCATATCTTTGTGAATGTAAAAACGGATATGATGGAAATGGAACCGATTGCACAGGTCTGAGTTGTGACGTCTCTTTTGGTAACTATTAGGGTGAGGTTGAGCTTTGTACTGATTGCACTATACGTAAATATAAATTACCCACCACAAAAATGTTTTAATGGTTAAGATGCGGAATCACTGACACTGTATGTGCGATATGTTTGAAAGCGCATAATAAAAGAACGAATCTGAGCAAGTAGTGCAGAGACGTAGCTAGGGCGGGGGATTAAATTTTGGGCTTCTCCTGAGAAATGAGGTGAATCGTTGTTATGTCGTCAATCATACCAAAAATCTGTAAGTGATCTTACCCATCAAAATTGTCCAGCATTAAGGTAAAAAAACCTGCACAGAATGTTTTGCAGGAACTTTATCTTGATTCACACTGACGGCCTGGATCCACCTAGGCTCTTGAAAATGAAGTGAGCCGCCATTCTTGTATATTATTGATTTTACAGATGTGAATGAATGTTTGGAAGCTCCATGTGGCTTTAATTCAATTTGTACAAACACTGAAGGATCGTACGTTTGTGGATGTCATATTGGATATAAAAGAAATAGTGCGGAAACTACGAATTGTGCAGGTAAAACTATGCACTTTCCTTTTTGAGAGTTTGCAGAAGAACCCTCTTTGTTTTCACATAGCATTTTTTCTTTCTCTGCCTTTAACTTTATTTGCCGAAAAAAGGGCGTAAGTAAATACTAATTCTATTGAATTTATGAATCATATAATATTAAGTACTTACTATTCTGATAATAAGAAAAATTGAATAAAAAAAATTTATTTTTCTTCCTTCTTTATTTTTTCAGACGTTGATGAATGTGCAATAGGCCTGTGTAGTTTAAATGCCAACTGCACAAACACGAATGGTTCATACTTTTGCGTATGCAAAAATGGTTTTGAGGGAAATGGGAGAATCTGTTTAGGTAAAAACTTGGCTATCTCTATTCTGCGCTTATTTCTTGTCTTCTCTTCGAAAAAGATGCCAATAAGATATGTAATATAAATGTATATAAATGTATATATATTTATATTTTTATATTTTGTTATATTTCAAAAAAAATCTCTTCACTTAAGAGTTTGCTATTATAGGTTATATAATAGCAAATTCCAAAGCCAATGAAAGCTTCCAAGAAATTCTTGGCACTTCAAGTAAAATATTTTTTTTATAGATTATAATTATTTATATAAAATAATGTATACAAAAGTACAACAAAAATGCATATTTTTACCATATAATTACAGGCAGCGTGCAAATAAGTATTATTTATTCTTAAATCGCGTTTTCGTTCTCGTGGTGCTCACGCGTGTTACACGAGTCTACTCAGTGTCTCATTGTGGCAAGGTTGGCGAGAATTTTTACTACTTTTTCCTACTGAAGTGTTTTACGTAGGACGATTTTAGTTTCCGGAGATGTATTTTTAACGATGGCTTTAAGTCAAGGTACAGCGATATTCTTCCGTCAAGTGCTTTGCCTTTGCCCTAAACTTGGGAAAATTTTACAAACAGCAAAACGTCACTGGCTTATAATCAATTTAGATAACTTGTTTACTATGCTATTTCCCCTTGTTATTGCTTAAACAGTTCTAAAGCCTTCGTATTTCACCATACTGTAGGCGAATCTTTGGCGATGCTGACATAACTTTACCAATCGATTCTCTCGTTCCTTTACTCCAGAATGAAAATGAGAAAAAAGAATGGCATATTTCTAGTCGAATCGACAATTTCTTCCTCATAACTTGGTAAAAACTTCTGCACCTAATCATCTGCCACATGTTGAATTTTGGCCTACCCACAGAATCCACAATTTTTGTAATCCTATAATTCGTTTGACGATTTTTTGTAGGTATCAACGTTTTATGACAATTGTGCGGCCGTGCACCAGTACCAACGTCTTGTCAATTTTTTTTGGCGACAATAACACATGGGTTTTTGATGGCTTAATTTGTTTTGCAGATAGTTGTGAATTGCGTGTCGGGCATAAACACCACTGTCTCTGCTCGGTGCTGGTGAGATAATGAAATATTCCATAAATATAGTTCTAAATCTAAATCGAAATTTCCCGAACTGCCTGCGCTTGGGCGATTTATAATTAACATTCCTCGTATAAACATGACATAGAGGAATTCTCACCACGTCCATCCCCAATTACATTCGTTTGAAGATTTTTTGTAGGTATCAACGTGTTATGACAATATAATTGTGCAATCCTGCAGCAGTACCAACGTCTTGCCAATTTTTTTGCGCGACAATAACACATGTATTTTTAATCGCTTAATTTGTTTTTCAAATAGTTGGGAATGGCATGTTGGGCATAATTATTAACTATAAGCCTATTTATTTCCGTGTGTAAGGTATAGTCTATTTATATCGACTTCTTCTTAGAAAATTCCTCCCAGACATTGTACCATTTTTTTCACAATGAATTGCCATTTTCCAAATTCTATTCCTGATGGAAAGACGGCAATGACACATTTTCGAATTTTATAGTTTTCGCTTGAAAACAGGCAACCACACTTGTGTAATAACTTAGTAATTATTAAAACTATTCGAGCGGCTCTTTGCCATAACAACTGTGCAAAAATGTAAACAGTAAGTATGGCATGCAAAGTATCCGAAGAATGTATTCAGTTTATCGGCAGGATATCTTTAACACCGCTGTGTCTGCTCGGTGCTGGTGAGATAATGAAATATTCCATATACATAGCTCTTAATCTAAATCGAAATTTCCCGAACTATACCTGCGCTTGGACGATTTATACTTCCCAATAAATTATGCTGATAGTCGTATCTGAGCGTATCCATCATTAGTTCCTTAATTTATTACTTGGAATATTTTGTGAGCAATTCCACTAAATGTATATAGTATAATAATACGGTGCATGGTTAAGTAAAATCAATCGGCAGGGTGTCTGCTATTGCTTTACACTAATCTGAAAATTATTGCTACCATTCTTGTATTCACAACAAACACAACGAAGCTAAATCTCGAAGTGAAATTTTACTTTTGAAAGGTAACCTAAATATGAATGCTTTGCAACAGTCATTTTCTAGGACAGTTAGTTTGGCATACGCCGCTATATACGTGCTTTAAAATAACTTATTTTGTTTAACGTTTGTTTGGCATACGCCAAGCTCATTTAATTAAGGTAATGTCATGGATCATAATCATAAAACGATCATTTGATAGTTAAAAGTATCTTTATAAATTCCTTGTGCCATAACTTTAGAAACACTGTGTCAGTGTGTCGTAATGTTTGATTGCAAATAATATCGTAATAGACGACTTGCGCTTTAACTTCTTACACCGGCGATAATATGGGCACTTTCTGAAAGAGTATATGACTTATTAAAATTAGTGAAACTCTCAATTTTGGCTGCGAATTGTTGTAAATTACGGAAAATATAGTCATGCGGAGTTGACAAATTTTGTGTACCTTTGTATTACGGCCGGAAGTGTTATAACACATTCCCACAAGTAATACAAAAGTATAAAAAATTTGCCAACTTCGCATTGCTATATTTGCCGCAATTTTCATAATTTCGCGGCCAAACTTTGCATTTGCACTAATTTAAGTACACTCTTTCTAGCTCTTGTGGTTTATTTCCCTCTTGTTACTCCTATCAAAATTTAGTCCTAAGCGTAAATTGTCCTTTATCATAAAAAAGTCTTATAGTCTGGAATTTTGGTTCTCGGCGAAGCTAATAGCCTAATATAGACACCTTATAGGATATAACAACACCAACTGCATGTAATGGCAACGGCTGGTGTACAATAATATTTATGAACCAGCACATAAGACTGAAATGAGTGTTACAAAGTTCAAGACGTATTGTATACAACGGCAAACCGAACATTCTAAAACGCCAACGCGTGACATGCCGCGATACTGAAGAATAATTGAATAAATTCCTTAACAAATCTGAAAACTTAGGCTTATATCATATAATGCAGCGTAAATTTATTGGAGTATCCGGATAGAACGTTCCTATTCCTAATGGTTATACTTATACAAAATTATTTTTCACTAACAAAATTTGGACATTTTCGAGTTTGAGGTAATTTCAATCGATAACTTTTAAACTATTGAATAATAAACTGATATAATAATATCTGGGCAATTTAGACATGTGTGCAGCTTCAGATCGTCTTTCTGCATGGTATATAAGACTTGGGCCTAGCACGTACTCTCCAGCTCAGCCACAAGCATATAAATTTCTGGTTGTTTATTTTGTTTTTCCTAGAAGTGATCGATACTCCTTATGGGTAATCAATGGTTTCTCTACTTTCTTCTGTTCACTTTGGGTAAGTTACGTTAAACCACGCAAAGAATGGTTTAGGCATAATTGCATGCTTAAAAATCCCAAGTTGTCGAGCTCCAAATTAATTGAAGTCATGATACAAAATTTTTAGAAATTGAACTAAGATCCGATAAATATTATTTGCACACCTGCCAAAGAATTTTCGTCTCTCGGTAGACGAGTTCTCGCATGAATTTTTCCAAGAGAAAGTGACTATCGCATGAATTGATGTGAAACAAACCGTTTAATTTACATCAGAAACTAAAACTGCTCTGGTTCATATATGCATGATCTATTACATATTGGCGGACGGCTATGAACTTGCATTTTTAGTATATAAAGCCTGTTTTCCACTTGGCGGAATTTTGACACGCAGAACGGAATTTTTCATTGTTTTTCTCACAAAAGTTCTGCGTGAAAGTGCGCAGACAATAAAAAAGTCCGCTACGCACGCAAAATTCCACCTCATGAAAAACCAGTATCAGAGCAGATTATCCATCGCCGGCCCAAGGCATCTCCATAACAATTTTGTCCGCATGCAAAGACAACAACCCAACCATTCAACCACCACTAATCCTAAGAATCAGCGCCGGATTTATTTTTCCAGATTCGATCAAGGGCATATAGCTCACAAAAATATGAAAAAACTTGTTTGTAGCTGTATGGAAGTGTCTGAACTCCCTATCACGATCCGGGTATTATTTCATCATCACGTTGATTATTAACCTTAGAAATCTCGGAAAAGACCAATTATCTTTCTCGCAATATTTAGCCCATTGAAAATCCAGACTTCCCCCTTTGCTCTTTCTGTAATCTGGCATTTCTAATATGTAAATGATGAAAACGCAACGTGTCGAACTACCACAATAGCGATCCAGTACGAAACAGACGCTTTCATCGCGTACAAAGTCTATAAAGAACAGCGGACAAGCAAAACTTAAAATAAACAAATGTAGTCAGATAGTTCTGAAGAAAAGGCTCTAATCACCGATTCACAAAATAGGCAGAAATTTATTTATTTATTCGCTTTTAATGACATCTCATTCATTTCATTTATTTTATTATATTTAATTTATTTATCTGTTGGTGTAAACATCCCGAATCCTAGTACGCAGTGCAGATTATCTGTTTGTTTTCACTGCTAAAATCTTTAAATGTTTTGCCAATGTAGAAAACAATGGAGCTGAAATTGAATACATCTTTTATTCAAACGCCACTCACATTTCCTATGTTTCTATTGATGGTGGAGAATCTAAAGCCTTGGTGAAGACACCAAGCGCGACTCTTGCTTACGACGAACTGAACTACCGTTTTTGGTATTATAAGGACGGTGAGAAACTGTATAACTCAAATTTGGATGGGAGTAATTTTAAAAATGTTTCGGTTCCATCAAATTTTGGTCCCTTTGCTGTTGATGCAGCGAATCAAACTGTCTATTATCTCACCAAGACTGATTTTAACCTTAAATTGATTGACTACGATGGGAACGACTTACCAGATATTGGTGTGTTACCAAACAATGATTTCAGGGATTTGCAAATCGACACCCATAACAGGTACAATAAATTTCAATTTCAATTTTATTTATTATAATATATATATATATATTATATAATATTATATATATATATATATTATATATATATATATATACACCCATTTGCAAAAACGTTGGCCGCAGATAGATAGATAGATAGATACTCGAAGTCTAATTAGAATTGGACATGAATACATTTGCATGGGATTTCAATCATATTACACAACATATGCAATTCTAATTAGATTTCGGGTATCTATCTATATATCTATCTGCGGCCAACGTTTTTGCAAACGGGTGTATATATATATATATATATATATATATATACATATATATATATTTAAATGACAATGTGTAATTAAATGAGATTGATATGCTTGTGTATAAATAGGACGATATAATTATAGTGAATCTTTTTACCACTAATGAAGCTGTAAATAGAGAAACGCTTGGAATTTTTTAATGTTTTTAGAATTCTACTTGACCACGCGCGATTTGAACCTGCGGCCTTCGGTATACTGGTCCAGTCAACACTATATATATGGAAGGCTCGCTCTAGTACATTGCGTAATCTAAAAGTGAAGCCAAACATGGCGGATCTTGAAGGCTGCTTCGGTACCGAACTAGACCTCCGCGCACGAACGGTTAAAATTCAATATGGCGGCAACGTGTATGAGTGGAACTCGGTCAGTTTTGTAAACACAACAAATATACGGTATAAGTTACCTCTCTAGAAAGAATAACATTGCCAGGTAAGGTTGTAACAAATTGTATGCATTCAATTTTAAAAACTTTGTATCAAAGAATGCAATAAAAAACATATTGCATGGCTATATTTATAAATACATTATTTGAAGATCGATTAGTTATTAATTAAACTAAATCATTCGTTTCGAAACAAAGTATATTTGTTCAGTTGGTGCCTTTTGCTTGGTTTTCCTGCTCTCACAACATTTTCATTGTACCTTTTTGCATAGGTGAACAATCTCAACCTGAAAAATTGATCTGCAATGCATTTAACAAGCCACACACTGTGGTTGTCAAACAGTGTTTCACTCAATTAAGCAATATCCATGGCTTTCCTGTTCTATACCGTTTTCAGCAAACTTGTAGCTGACTTCTTGTAACACTTTTTCTTTCAGCTTCTTCGTATTGGAGATTTTGTTATGGTTACCTGATGACCCATAACACTTGAATACTTGCTCTGCACTTGCCACAACTTTAAGAGTAAACGGTGAAGGAATGTGAAGACCACCTTTGTTGATAAAGGAAGTGAATGAAGAGGCTTTGTCATACATGTCATCACATGGTTTGTAGGTTTGCACTTGATTGTGACTGGCTGAGGCTGCAATGCCACCAATACACTGTGGGCAGTGTATTTTCTTGAGCAATTTTGAAACTAGGAAACCAGAGATGTAGTGTAAGACATACATGGTGAACTCTGATTAGCAAATTCATGTCTTTCGCAGTTGTAATTTCTGTCAAAACAAACTCCATATCGTGATTATGCTCGATTTCACGCACAGATTTAAACAGAGAGTTTTTGACTTCCAGTAAAACACCACCGCCCCGCGTCTTCACGATCTTTCCAGACAATACATTATCCCGGGTGTACAATTTTAGAGCTGTAGATCCGATCAGAGAGTTAAGTCTCACTAACACCGACAATGTCCAAATCTTCGGTGTAAACAAGGTTTTAAAAACGTTCGAGATTACTTTCCGTTATGTTGTCAGTTTTAAATTTAACTAAACTTGTCAAACTCCTTGCGTTTAAAACGAGACCTTTTATGCTACAAATCGAGTCGTCTTTGGGTCCACGGTTGATTTCAACATCGCCTGATGATTTGATGAAAAACACCGCACACAAAACGTAGAGAATAAGCACTCTCCAAGGATCAGTTTCAAGGTGTTTGTTGACGGTCGCTGTTTTGAAACTCGTCGGCGTTTGATAACATTGAACAATCTTATCAGCTTTGTGACTTCTATGGACACATATATGCATTTTGCCCGGTGGAAATACTTGTGGTTGCACAGGTCTTTGGATGAAATATTCCAAAAATTATAACTTATAAGTATGCAAAAAGTATCAATTTTTTTGATTAACTGCCATGATGGCGTTGATGATTACCAGTCTTTTTTCGTTCGTGCATGCGCATAAATAACATAACAATGCAACTATCATGCATGGGATGGAATTTTTTAAAACAGAAAAATAAATTCATTTTTATTCCGATCATAACATTTTAAAATAAGCCATAACACGATAATGAGGCTCAGGGGCCAAGAGCTCGAGCCTCGTTCTCACATTATAGCTTATTTCCATACTTATTTTTCAAAATTATTAAAGTAGTTCTAAATAGAAGTGTATAAATCCCCTCCCCCCCCTTTAATCCGGTGTCTAACATCGCTCCAGTTTGAATATCAGTGACTGCAAAATCATGCTGCAAGAGTTATAACGGGGTCTACTTTTGATATTCGATCGATCTGTTGACGTACTGAATAATTGTTAAGCTGAGAATCTTTAAATAAGAGACGCAATTATTCTAAATCTATTTACATGTATAAAATATTAAATGATCATCCTCCAAATTTAAAACAGTTATTTCCATGATTTTTAATGAAGGCGATTCCCCCTATATATGATCTTAGGAATCGTAAAACTGACTAAATACTACCACAATCAAAGAAGGAATTTCTTAAAAGAAGTTTAAAATATAATGGAGCTATCCATTGGAATAATTTGCCTATTGATACAAAAAACGCTGATTGGGTTCATTTCTTTAAGAAGTTTATAAAATCTACGGCGAGATGAAGCTGATTTTTTTCCTTGAGGATACTTACTAATAATTGTTTTTTTGTATATATCCTGTCGGCTTGTAATTTTTTGTATTTTTATGTAACCATTATCTATCTTTTAACACGCCCATCCTGAAAAACAACTATGTTGATGAGGCTAGCGTATCTAAATAAAGTTTTATGTATGTATATATGTAGCAATTTTAGAGCTGCATGCGTAACTATGATAACATATAACCGGTAATAAACGCATGAATATCAAATAATTTAATGTCGAACCTTTTTTTGAACCTAGAACAATATTTTTCACCACTGATCTTACAAACAATCGAAATCTCATCCGGTACAGTTTTGCTGATGGAACTGTTCAAACTCTTCACTCTGGTGTTCCTGGAATAGGCACTCATCTTGCGCTTGATATCTGGAATAAAACTGTATACTGGATTCTATTCACTTCTGAGACAAATTACAAGATATTAAAAACAACGTACGATGGTCAGACTACACAGATAGGAACAGATCAATCAGGAAGTATTACAACCGTGGACATTGCAGATGGAAATGGATATTATTATCCTCGATACAACAACATCGAAAATGATACATATAATTAATCGTCAGATGAAGTACTACTACGATTTCACTTTCAACTGAAGCCACAAGAATGATTGTTGTATCGTAAGTTCCCGCAGAAATTCATTTTATTTTTTGAGTTCTTTTTCAACTAATTTTGATAGATGATAGTATATATTTTTGCACGCTTTTAAGTATTTTGTCTTTTAAAACGAGTTTGCTTACCTCTATCTTTCGTGTTTCGGAAATTAGAAGCTATTACTCCATCCAATGTAAAATTCTATCATTTTTCGTTACGTGCAACTATACGTTTCGAATAACTGCTAACTTGCGTGACGAGTAATATATCTAGAGGAATAAATTATAATATTTCAGTAATTTCCAAATTTTCAGCAAATTGCGTTTCCAAAACGAAGCCTGAATGATTTTTAGGCTCTAAAATAAGCATACATCATGGGAGTTATTCATGCGCTTGTTTGTTTCATAAACGGACCTTTTATAACCTAAAGTTATCTTTCGTTTCGCTCAATCTCGGGTAACGGCTCATGAACAGTACCTGAATTGTTTTCTTTTAGATAAGGACCATTGTGCTTTAAATAACACCTGTCCTGCCAACTCGACATGTACGAACTCTCCTGCACCATTGTATGTTCATGTGACCCTGTTTCACGAAATCAAATATATTGCCAAGGTACGGAAAGTGGAAGTTCGAATGCACCAGACAATACCGATTATAATGGAAATTCTATCAGCCCATAGAAGAATTCTCTTATGAAATGAACGCTATGACTACCTTACCCTGATTTACCTTACCCTGATGAAGAAAAGGCTCTAATCACCGATTCGCAAAATAGGCAGAAATTTATTTATTTATTCGCTTTTAATAACATCTCATTCATTTCATCTATTTACTATATTTATTTATCTGTCGGTGTAAACACTATACATCACGAATCCTAGTACGCAGTGCAGATTATCGTTTGTTTCCACTGCTAAAATCTTTAAATGTTTTGCCAATGTATAGAAAACAATGGAGCTGAAATTGAATACATCTTTTATTCAAACGCCACTCCATTTCCTATGTTTCTATTGATGGTGGAGAATCTAAAGCCTTTGGTGAAGACACCAAGCGCGACCCTTTCTTACGACGAACTGAACTACCGCCTTTGGTATTATAAGGACGTGAGAAATTATAACTCAATTTGGATGGGAGTGATTTGAAAATGTTTCGTTCCATCAAATTTCGGTCCCTTTGCTGTTGATCAGCGAATCAAAGTGTCTATTATCTCACGAAGACTGATTTACTTAATTGATTGACTATGACGGAACGACTTACCAGATATTGGTGATCACCAGACAATGATTTCAGGGATTTGCAAATCGACACCCATGACAGGTAAATTAAATTTCAATTTAATTTGATATAACTATTTATTCAGTAGTTATGGTTAAAGTATAGTTATTTGGTAATGGTTAAAAATTGAACCTTTAAAATAAGAAAACATTACATAATATGTTGACAATGAGGACGTTTATTTATCTATTTATTTATTTATTTTTTATTTTTTTATAATGCTTTGTCAGTTACACACAAACTTATACAGTACAATAATAAGCACAAATGATAGACAATTACATGTCAGGGTATACGCTACAGCTTACGCCAATTAGGCTACAGCGGCCCTTGATAATAATACAACACAAAAGACAAAACGAAAACACATTTACAGGACATCAGGCAAGACGAAGTCGAACGAGTCAGGTTAAAAGACACGTTACAAGACAAACATATAGACTTTCACGTTCTAGGATCTTCGGCATTATAAAAATTCAATGCTAATTTGCAATATATATAAAGTTCGTTCTTGAAACCACAAAATGTCAGGTCTTTTGGTAGTGTATTCCATACTCTCGCACTCTGGATAAGAACGATTTCTGAAATGTCGCAGTCTTGCACTTTGTGGTGAGCAACAGTAAACAGTGGCGTCAATTGATCTTGCTGTTCTTTTTTGGTTTTGAGTTCGTGGTAGAACGTTGTTGTCAATGTTTACTATCCAATGTATGCATTTAAAGCAAAAGACGAGATCGAGAAACTCGTGCCAATAGCAGAGTGGTAGGAGATTCAACATATCTAGTCTCTGTGTATAGGTGATTTCGCACATAAACGGAAGATCTAGATTGAACTTGGTCGCGGGTCATTGAATTCGTTCCAAACGTTTGATGTTTTCCACAGATTGTGGAGCCCAGACTTGCATGAGAAGCGTAGCATAGTTTCGAGCGTTCAATAGCCAAATATAGGGTGCGACGAATTGACATAGACTTCATGTCCAGAGTAATTTTTCTAATGTAGCCTAACATTTTTGTTGCTTGAGCACATTGTACCTCAATATGTTTAGACCATGTCAGATTGGATGTGTTGCCCAAAACACGTTCGTGATCAGTTCTTTCAGGACAGAATTACGCAGCTTGTAAGGGAAATCAATTTTGGTGAGCTTTCTTATGATTCGATCGTAAGACTTCGCATTTCTCAGCGCTCGGTTCACATGCGTTGCTAGAGCTCTCTTGGAAGTTTGTCAGATCTTGTTGTAGCGACGACGCGTCAGCAACAGTGTTTATAGGTTTGTAAAGTTTGGTATCGTCCGCAAAGGCGGCAATGTTTGAGGTGCTCACGGTTTCAGAGAGGTGATTTTCACAATCATAGAAGAAACAGCAAGGAACCTTCGACATGTCCAAATAAATCACATCTATCTGTAAATTGCCGACCTATTTGTTCGAATACTTCAATCATTTGCAATTAAAGAAAAATAATTTCAGTTTTATCTTGATCAATCAATTTAATAATAAGCCATAACACGATAACGAGGCCCAGGGGCCAAGAGCGCAAGCCTCGTTCTCGCATTATAGCTTATTTCTATACTTTTTTTTCAAAATTACAATTTTTTTTCATGCATGCGTTGAAGAAGGATATTTTGCAGCTGCACGTAGCTTGTGAGAGTAGAAAACCATTAAAGTGCTTCTAAATTTCATACCATAATTATCGGTCTATTGTACTCGCCATCATTCGTGTTAAACAATCGAATTTAAACACACAGCAATAGAAGTGTATAAATTTTCGCCCCCCCCCCTAATCCAGCGTCTAAAATCGCCCCAGTTTGAATATCAGAGACTGCAAAATCGTGCTGCGAGATTTATAACGGGGTCTGCTTTTGATATTCGATCTGTTGACGTACTGAATAATTGTTAAGCTGAGAATCTTTAAATACGAGACGCAATTATTCTAAATCTATTTACATGTATAAAATATTAAATGATCATCCTCCAAATTTAAAACACTTAGTTCCATGATTTTTAATGAAGGCGATTCCCCCTATATATGATATTAGGAATCGTGAAACTGACTTAATACTACCACAACCAAAGAAGGAATTTCTTAAAAGAAGTTTCAGATATAATGGAGCTATCCATTGGAATAATTTGCCTATAGATAAAAAAAAAACGCTGATTCGGTTCATTTCTTTAAGAGAAATATGACATCTACGGCGAGATGAAGCTGATTTTTTTCTTTGATGATACTTACTAATAATTGTTTTTTTGTATATATCCTGTCGGCTTGTAATTTTTTCTATTTTTATGTAACGATTATCTATCTTTTAACACGCCCCTCATGAAAAACAACTATGTTGATGAGACTAGCGTGTCTAAATAAAGTTTTATGTAGGTATATATGTAGCAATTTTAGAGCTGCGTAACTATGATAACATATATAACCGGTAAATGCATGAATATCAAACAATTTAATGTCGAATTTTTTTGAACCTAGATCAATATTTTTCACCACTGATCTTACAAACAGTCGTAATCTCATCCGGTACAGTCTTGCTGATGGAACTGTTCAAACTCTTCACTCTGGTGTTCCTGGAATAGGCACTCATCTTGCGCTTGATATCTGGAATAAAACTGTATACTGGATTCTATTCACTTCTGAGACAAATTACAAGATATTAAAAACAACGTACGATGGTCAGACTTCACAGATAGGAACAGATCAATCAGGAAGTATTACAACCGTGGACATTGCAGAAGGAAATGGATATTATTATATCCTCGATACAACAACATCAAAAATTAATAAATATAATAAATGGTCAGATGAAGTGGCTACTACGATTTCACTTTCAACTGAAGCAACAAGAATTATTGTTGTATCTGGTAAGTTCCTTCAGAAATTCATTTTTTATTTTTTGCAGTTCTTTTTCAACTAATTTTGATAGAATGATAGTATATGATTTTTACACGCTTAAAGATGAGGTAAAGTCCGTTCTGCGCATAAATTCCGCGCATCAACACATTCCATCATTGGGGAAGCAACTTTTGGAATGTTAATGATATGCGATATTAGCGCGTTGTATTACAAACGGCAGTTCGGGAGCAAAATTATTTTATTTTATGTCGCAAGGCGAAGAGGCTCGAATTGCGAGTCACGACGATAACTTATCTTATCATAAAGCTGCTAGAAAAAGCAATATTATGCTGAAAGGAATGCTCCAAGAATTTATTTGTTGAATAAGGCCCGAAATGGCGAGGCTATTTGTTGTCGCTACAGACGCCACCTTCTCGCTTGTCCTACAATTACAAATATATAACGTTTTAAATAACGGCCTGTTTATTTACAAGCTTCGCTTTATATTTTGTTCAAAATATAACAATATTTTCTTCAAAATATAATAAAAAATAAGCATATTCATCACAGATCACAGCCCGTCGAGCGAGAAGAAAATAATAAAATTATAACGACGCATACGTCATGTAAAGATTATATAACCAACGTAAACAAACATTGTTATGCGCAGAATATATGCTCAGAACGGACTTTACATCATCTTTAAGTATTGTTGTTTTTTTAAAAACGAGTCTCGCTTACTTCTATCGTTCGTTTTTTCGGAAATTAGAAACTATTTACTCGATCCAGTGTAAAATTCTATAATTCGTCGTATACGTGCAACTATACGTGTTCGAAAATAACAGTTGCGTGACGAGTAGATATATCTGGAGGAATAAAATTATAATATTTCAGGTAATTTCCAAATTTTCAGCAAATTGCATTTCCAAAACGAGCCTGAGGTGATTTTTAGGCTCTAAAATAAGCATACAATCATGGAAGTTTTCATGGGCTTGTTTGGTTTCATAAATGGACTTATTCTAATAAACTTAAAGTTATCTTTCGTTTTGCTCAACTTGGGTAACTGGGCTCATGTAAACAGTACCTGAGTTGTTTTCTTCTTTTAGATAAAGACCACTGTGCTTTAAATAACACCTGTCCTGCAAACTCGACATGTACGAACTCTCCCGGCACCATTGTATGCTCATGTGACACTGGATTCACTGGAAATCAAACACATTGCCAAGGTATACGGAAAGTGGAATTTGGAATGCACCAGACAATACCGATTATAATGGAAATTATATCTAGCCTTTTTTTAAAATAATTCTCTATATTCTCTATAAAATAATTCTCTATTTTCCAAAATTGCAGCAAGGATTAGAACTGCATGAACACTATAACTTATCTTACCATGATTTTAAATAATTTATAATAGAGGTATTATTGAAATAAGTACAGGTATAAACACACAGCTCTTGTTGTTTTCGGTAACAAAAATGAGTCAGTTGCACCCCCACGCATGATTGTTAACACCTTACAATAATCGCCTAAAATTTGACTAGTTTATGCAACTTGTTGACACACAGTCCATGAGCAGCACAACATTTTCAGCTGTGATTTAATTAATCAGGAACATATTGGTCGTTTTTAGAGTTGACCAGAAGTAATTTCGTTATTTCTTATAAATTATCGCATTTTTGTCCAAACTTCCTAGATATCGATGAATGTTTAAATAGTCCATGTGGATACAATACAAACTGCACAAACACCTTTGGTTCTTACATTTGTAAATGTCAAACAGGATATGAGGGAAATGGAACAAATTGTACAGGTACAGCACCACTTTCTGTGGAGATTCATTTAACATAATACTCAGCCGCACCTTTACGATTTTTAAGATTATGTGACACTTCACTCCATGTAGAATAAAGGTCATTAAGGGTCTTAACTTCAATAAAAAACAGTTCAGCAACATCTGTGGCTCAGAGGCAAGAGTATGGAATCAGCATCGCAACACTGAGACTCATCTTCGTTAAAGCAATGTAGCGTGATTAGTGGATCAACTTGCGATCTTAGAAAGAGCATACCGAAATTTGTATACTTTTTTACAAAGAATTATGCAAAATTGCCAACTTCGCATGGCTATATTTTCCGTACTTTACAAAATTTTGCAGCCAAACTTGGCAATTTTACTAAATTTAGTATACACTTATCGGAAATTTCCTTTTTGTCGCCTAAATCAAAAGTTGGTCTATTATGCAAAAGGGCCAATAATAAACCGAAATGATGAGCCAAATATTATCCACACCTGTGACTAACATATGTAATTGTTGGTTCGTAAAAAGAAGAGAAATAATCACAAGAGAAATAATTAGGATTATTCAAATAAAATTGCACCTACGTATTACGAAACTTGTGGTTAGAGCATTTTCATGAGTGAAGTGATCAAGACATTAACATCTAAAAACTGTTCCTGAATGAAAACAAACTACTTTTCAAGTCTTCCGAACACTGGCGTTACCTTAAGATGCGTGATTAATCAAAATCTAACGGACTTCTTGACAATTTTGATGACGTCAATTTCTGTATAACAGGTTTTATTATATGTGTATAGAGATTTATGCACAGCAGAATGATGAAATAAAAGTCGTATTTCACTGTGTAAATTAATTTTATGCAATTTGATTGGACATACGATGTTTTTCACGTGTGACAAAATGCCATACACGGCTTTTCATTGGACGTACGATATTCTTCACACGTGAAAAATTGTCGTATGTCATTTTGGCGGCAATTTTTTTACATATTCTGTCAAGATGGCGTCAAAATATAGGAGTGAGATTCAAAACATAATTCTCATATTCAAGGTATTTTAACATTCAGCCCATTCTCAAATCTTTCGGAAAAAATATTTTGATTTTTGTTGCTCGCTGTGTTTTTGTATATTAAAAGCGTGTCGTTGTCAAATTAGCCATTTACAAATTGAACAAGGGAACTGGGTCTAGTCGCAAACCGCAAAGCATCTATGGACTGTTTGGAAGGACAGGAAATATAGGTCTGAAATATAGGTCTCACACTACCTAGTTCAGCAACCCCGACAGCTACCTAGCTCACACGATTACTCAAATTTATTTTTTTGCTGTAGTAGTTTTAATATTTACACATGAATTAGACTTTGCCTACCAAAAAGCCTAAGTTGAAAAGGGAAAGAGGATTTTAGATTCTCTTTCATTTGCAATTGTTCGCCATGCGATACACCCAGCTTTAAAAAAATATTTTTTTAGAGAAAAGTACAAAAAGAGTTTACAGATGATCAAAGTCAAACTCGAGAGATATTTATCCACTGTTTTACTGACAGCTACCTAGCTCAAACGATTACTCTATAATTTCCTTGTTTGCTCTACTAGTTGTATTATATACCCACGAATTAGTCTTTTCCTTCCAGCATGCCTGAGTTTAAGATGGAAAGAGGATTTTAGATTCTTTTTAATTTGCAATTGTTCACCATTTCATATACTCAGCTTGTTAACAGTTATTTATGAAATATTTTTGTTTTGAGGAAAAGTATAGAAAAAGATTTCTACAGATTATCAAAATCAAACTCAATGTAATCCTTGCGAATGTCATCTCTACTATATTTCTAGATATCAATGAATGTCAAACGAATCCTTGTGATGTAAATGCAAATTGCACTAATACTGATGGTTCATATAATTGTACTTGTAACATGGGCTATGAGGGCAATGGTTACAACTGTACAGGTATCGTAAAAAAAGATTATTCGCATATTCTAATTATTTGTTATATCCATTGCCAAAATTTTTTTTTTCTATTTTTCTTTCACAAAGCCAAATCTGAACGCGAGCGATATTTTTCCGCTGTTTCCTGAATAGTTTATATAATTTTCTTGTTCGCTCTAATAGTTGAATAATTAGAACATGCATTAGTCTTTCGCATGGATCTAACGTGCCTAAGTTGAGGAAGGAGAGAGAATTTTACATTCTTTTTTCATTTACAATTGTTCACCATGCCATATACTCAGCTAAGTCAGATTGTTAATAATATGTTTTATATCGGGGAAAAATACAAAAATTTTGTACACATGATAAAAATGAATCTTAATGTAGTCCTTGCGAACGTCATCAGTAATATATTTCTAGATATCAATGGATGTCAAACAAATCCTTGTGATGTAAATGCAAATTGCATTAATACTGATGGTTCATATAATTGTACTTGTAACATGGGCTATGACGGCAATGGTTACAACTGTACAGGTAAGGTAAACATAGAATATCGGCATATTCAAAATTATTTTTATATCCATTGTCAAAATTTATTTTTCTCTTGTTTTCTTTCGCAAAGATAAGTCTGAACGCGAGTGATATTTCTACTCCTGTTTCCCCGACAGCTACCTAGCTCGCCCGATTACCCTAATTTCCTTGTTTGCTCTATATAGTTGTATATTATTTACACATGAATTATTCTTTGCCTTCCAACATGCCTAAGTTAAAGAAGGAAAGAGGATTTTAAATTTTTTTCCATTTGCATTTGTTCACCATGCACCACTCAGTCCATTTATCCAAATAGTAAGAGCGATATGGCATATAAATTTCGTTAAGAAACTGACCGGTTTACGTCAATATTTAAAATTCATTACTTTTAAAGATGTTGATGAATGCACAGTCGGGGCTCATAACTGTCACAGTCAGGCAACGTGCAGTAATACCATCGGGTTGTTCACTTGTACGTGCAATGAAGGTTATACAGGAGATGGCACCAGGTGTGAAGGTACGCAATTTGCAATACAACTTTGCTACCGCTGGCACATGAATTGCTCCAGCGCCCGCTCATTTTATGTTATATCATATAGGCAGCCCAATGGCGAATGGTTTTATTTGAAATAAAAGTGCACTAAAACATTAGAACAAAGCTATCCGTATTTTGATTAAATTGAAACATGTATAAATTATTCACGCTAACTAAAATCCTGACATCCTGTGTATTACGCAACGGGCGACTCGGGTGCCTGACATTGTTTAGGCAATGTAGGCATTATACAGTATATATATATATATATATATATATATATATATATATATATATATATATATATATATATATATATATATATATATATATATATATATATATATATATATAATCTGATTGGCTCCTTCAATCACAATATTCACATGCACATGGACACATGCAAACAATCCGAAAATACTTCAGGTAAAATAACAGCAGAATTGGCTGATTGGCTGTCAAAACAGCGAGAACAAGGAGCCAATCAGATTACAAACTCGTCTTTTTCAACGTTCTCAAACGTCAGCAGCGCGTGTCCAGCATCAGCCCATTCAATGTTTTAGTGCACTTTTATTTCAAATAAAACCATTCGCCATTGGGCTGCCTATGATGCGGCATTATAGTTTGTCGCCGGATTTAAAAGTAAAGAAAAAAATCCGTTGTGCGCCTCGGGCAACAGTAACCGCGGTCGAGGATCAGAAAAACACACTTTTCTCCGGAGATGACAGTAAATAAGCGATTTGGTATTATATCTAGTGTCAAAATGAAAAAAAAAGGTCTCTAAGGGAGAACAAATTTTAATACCTTCACGGATTAGAATAATACAAGTATACAACGATAAAAAGTTAACTTTAAGAACGATAGGAAAGCAAGTATAATGTCTACTGAGAAATAAAAAACGTCAATGGCAACAGTAGCAACTTACTGGATAAAATTGAGTTTTTGCTGTGTAAGATTTCCCAGGGTCGCGTTGCTAGGGAAATCATAGCAATGGGAAAAGGTATAACAATTGCCTAAAATAGACAAAATACATCTCGACGTTTCGTTCGAGGGCCTTCGTCAAGAGGGTTAGTATATGAAAAACTAACTTTCCTGAAATACTAATACTAAACGAAGGTCCTCGGGTCGAAACGTCGAGAAGTGTTTTGTCTATTTTAGGGAGTTGTTATACCAGATTTGATGCTAACTTTTAGTTAATTCTGCTTTTCTACAATATTAGGCTAAATGGATTTCCCATTTCTATCTTTGCAGACATAAACGAATGTGTTGGAAAATCGCGAAAATGTTCAGGTGCAGGTCAAGAATGTTTCAACTTTCCTGGAGCATACCGTTGTAATTGTATTAGTCCAAGACAGCAAATTATTGATGGAGAATGTACTGGTAGGTTTCGCGTAGGCTACATGAAGCATAACATCGTTGGCAACCTCACCCACCTGCATGTGCCTGCAATTCCTCTTAGTTTCATTACCTTATAACGAGATATGGACACCGGCGTTCTGAATGTAATACCAAAATAACCAATCTAGGTGTTATTGATTACAATTCTGGTTCATACATGTGCCTAATCAACAAAAACGACCAACTAGACCGTTTAATGTCAACATGCATGCATACAATTTTTATATAATTTGAATTTAAACAACTTTTGGTTCTGTATAATTATTGTGCGACACAATACCCGGGTGTAATTAAAATATCTGGGCAGAATTAGTACCTGGCGTTCCGTTACTGGTTAAAGGAGTATTTCCATTGAGTGCAAAATGTCACGCGATCGACTTTTTGCGATCGCTTTTCTAATAGACCTTTCCGCACGCGGCGCGTTGATCAGTTTTGCATGGAAAGATTTCATTGGCTAATTTGCAGTGCGGGAAAAAGTTCGGACAAGTTAAACATTGAAAACAATATATTTTACAAGCCTAACAATGGATATCACGAGAATAACAGATGAAACTTCGAACAATATGAATGTGTATAATTTGAGAAACTTTCTCCTAAAAGGCAAATTTGTTGCTTTTTTGCAAAGGCAGCACTGAAAATGAAGCTTTCAATCAATGTTTTATTTCCACAAAGATAAGCTTGACCTGAAATTAAAGATCGATTGCAAATTAAAGGCAAAATACTATACCTGATCCTTTCAGTTTACAAGCGGCAGAAATGTCTGGACGCCTTGAAAATATTTTACCTTTTGGCATGGAAGATATAATATTCAACTTTTTGATATTTAAATCAAGCGAATACGAGACAAAATTGCTTCTACAAAGCGTTTGAGGACTACGGAATATTTCAAGATGGTCGTGTCGAAGACATCAAAGTCAAGTAAGTCGAGCAATTTTACAAAGTTTGGTTCGTCATGATCGAGAAGGCGCTGATTCAGCGAATGTGAATTAGAAACCAACTGCTGGAGTGCTGCATGGGTCTGTTTTTTTCTGCATACTGCCTTTGTCCTGGTGTTCAAGACGGCGCATGTAAACATGCATGTAGTTTGTATTCTCTTCGCGACTCTCTTTATCCCTCATCAGGTCTTGTGGACAGGCTTTGGCATTAATTTACACTTCGACTAACAAACGTTTTGCGAGAACCAATCAAAACCTTTCCCTTTTCTACGCAAAACCAAGCGCCGCGTACGGAAAGGTCTATTAAGGCGGTTTTCCACTAGGCGGAATTTTTCGATCGAACGAAATTTTTCGCTCAATTTTCTTTTCAATTGTGGTCGGTCAAGCGAATCCGCTTCGGTCGACTTCTCACAATTGAAAAGAAAATTGAGCGAAAAATTTCGTTCGATCGAAAAATTCCGCCTAGTGGAAAACCGCCTTTACACACACACGCGTATTTGTGAGAAAATCCTAAAACTTTTAAATCGCGCGCTCTTAGAATAAAGAAGAATTGCTTTCTACTTTTGCGATCTTACTGCTGAACTACGAACAAACAAAAATGGCTGCCAATGACAGGAGTGAAATGTGTAGCGAACAGACTGTGTTTTCTATGGAAAATACCGGGACATTGAACATCAGCGAAAGCTGGACTTCGAAGTTGGAACTGAAATATCAGCAACTCGCTTGTGAGAAAATAGCACAAACGATGATCAAAATGCAATCGGGACTATCGAGTATAATGTTGAAATTTATTGCTCCAGTACAAGAAGAACCATGTTTATGGAATACTTCTTTCAGAGCGTATAAGGACCAGGCAAAAAAGAAAAATGCGTGGTATAGCATTGCATCGAAATTCGGAAAGAATCTTCCTCAGGTAAAAGAAAAAATGGGATGAATCCTCAGTTAAACAAAAAAGATTAGCCCGTGAGTAGTTGTCAAATTGTGTGGATTATCTAATTCTGGAGTACCAAGATAACATAAATCATCACAGGAATGATATAATGAACTACTTCAAAAGAAAGACGACCCTGACATGCTGCTTTAAAAAAGTTTGCATTCCTCCCTAAATAAGCTTCCTCGAAGAAAGAATAGGCGAGCAGGAATGAAAATCCAGCAAGTTTTGTTCGACCTTGAAGGCTCTGATGATTGTTTTAGGCCGATATAAAATACCCTAACGTTACAATAGCACAAATGCCTTTACGTATTGTTATTGTCATGATTGCCAATCTTGGTTTTTTGGGGTCCAGAAAAAATGTTGGTGTGGACAAATTCTACTGGTTGAGAACGGGTTAAATAAGTTTAATATGGATCAAAGATATCAGTTAATGCCAAAACTGCGTCATTTGCCATATAACAACACCTTCAGTTGAACTAAAATAATCTTTATATTCATCTCGAACTTGTTGAGCAGATCTTGATGAATTATTTGATCCTCTAGCATGTCTTTGAAGCCTCTGTAAGCCAGCTGTTGATTCAATCTCTTGTCTGCATTGTCCTTATAAAGAATCTTTCTTTGAAAATCTTTCTATAACCCAAAAGTTTTTCTTATACATCTGTTCCTTTCTTCTCAATCGAAAACGTAATCGTAAGAGGAGCAGCAACAGTATTTTTTTTTCTACAACTGTAGACGAACTGCACGATAACTCAGGGGGTGAAATTGAAGCCAGTGCTTTTTACTTTTTCTAAGTTATGAGCTGAAGTACCTAACGCCAAATCTTGAGCCGTATACGAAATTAAAACTATTACTAGAAATACATGCATGCAAAATCCCCTCGCCTGAAGTAATAAACCTATATTTCCATTAGTAAAATTCTATAATACTCGTTTCTGCTGAATGATCGAAGTCGTATAATCTACAAGTTAAACTTACGAAATACTTGCATGCTTTAAAATACAAAATCTACCTATTTACCTGTTCAAAAACACTCCAAGAATGCTTTAAAATCGTAGATTTTTCACCAACTATTTGAATCAAAGTTTTTCTATCGGAAAGCATAATTTACTTTACATTTTAATCAATTTTAGAAGTGAATTTTTCCGTATATTTTCAAAACCATCCAAATGAAAAATATTTTTAAACTAATAAAAGTTTTATCATTCAAAATATCAGTTATGCTATCAGTTATGTTACAACATAATGTCGCTGATTTTGTAGCTATTTCTGAAACATGGCTACATGACGGTATTGATGATAATCTCCTACAAATCCCAAAGTATAACTTTTTTCGACGTGATAGACTATGTGGTAGAGGAGGAGGAGTTTGTGCTTATGTATCAGAAACCATCCCTTCCAGGCGACGTGACGACCTCGAAAATCGTATGTATGAATGTATGTGGGTATGGATTAGACCCTTTCGTCTCCCAAGATCTATCACTGGGATAATAATTGGAATTGTTTACAGCCCTCCTGACAAGCCTATACAAGAGCAACGCGACCTTGTAGCGTACCTAGTTGAAACTTTGGATGTTGTTCGAAATATGCACCCAGAATGTGGCATCGTTCTGTTAGGCGATTTTAACAACTTAGATATTTCTGAGTTACTTAGCTGCCACAATTTGTCTCAAGTGGTAACCACTCCCACAAGGGGTTCCGCTATTTTAGACTTGATAATAACAAATATTTACCCATTTTACAATATTCCAACAACAATTGCCCCCCTCGGCACGTCAGACCATGAAATAGTGAAATGGCTCCCCAGAATTAATGCACATGTTAACATATCAACGACTGCCAGTAAACGACATTATCGGTGCTTTCCACAGTCCGCGCGAGAAGCTTTTGGCCGGTGGGCGACTCGCCAAGACTGGCCTGTCGATGGTCAAAACCTTACCATAGAAGAGCTCGTCAGTGCATTCACCTCAAATATTTTGGCAGCTATAGATAAATTTTTCCCTATGAAAACTGTCAAACTACATCCTTTTGATAAGCCTTGGATGACAACATCCTTAAAGAATCTGATTATACTACGGCAACGGGCATTTCACAGTGGAAATAAATCTTTGGCACCACTATAGAGACAAAGTAAGATTAGAGATAATAGAAAGAAAACGGAAGTTTTATGCAGATAAAGTTCAACATCTGAAGAAGAGCGATACTAGATCTTGGTGGAAGCTTGTCAAGCGAATATCTGGTCAATCTAATAATATAGCGCCAATTCATTTCGAAAAGAATGGAGTAACTTTGACGGACGATCAATTAGTAAACTCCTTAAATGAATTTTATATCGCGGTGAATGCAGATATTCCTCCCCTTGATATTCACGAGTTACCAGCATTTCTGCCAGCGGCTGAGCAAGTACCGGTGATACATTCTTATCAAGTCTGTATGAAATTACAAAATCTCAACCCTTATAAAGCAATGGGTCCAGACAATATTCCACCGCGTCTTTTGAAAGAATTCGCTCATGAACTGGCTGAACCAATTACTGATCTTTTTAACCTTTCTTTATCTTCTGGAATCGTTCCTGATACTTGGAAATCTGCGAATATTATTCCAATCCCTAAAGAAAAACCACCGAAAGAGGAAAGCGACTTACGACCAATCTCTTTAACGCCCTGCATCTCTAAATAATGGAGGAATTTGTAGCAGAAATGATTCTTGAAGATATCGCACACAAGATAGATCATAAACAGTTCGGCGTTACAAAGGGCACATCTACAACTCTATGCCTTTTAGACATGTTTCATAATTGGCTGTTAAATCTGGACACGCCCGGTCAGTATTTGCGAATTTGTTTCTTAGACTTTAGCAAGGCCTTTGACCGCATTAACCTTAACATCTTGATCACCAAGTTGTTCCTTTTGGGAGTACGAAGGTCACTTTTGCCCTGGATATGCAGTTTCTTGTCAAATCGTAAACAACGGGTTAAGTTGGGTAAATCTTTGTCGGAATGGCTCACGGCGAACGCTGGTGTCCCACAGGGCACAAAATTGGGCCCTATATTGTTTCTTGTTATGATCAATGATCTCGCCCTACCAACCTGCGATTATTGGAAATATGTAGATGATCTCACTGCTTCCGAAGTCATACCCAAACATGGCATCTCAACAATCCAGTCAGATCTTGATTATATATCCTCTTGGGCCTCCGCAAATTATATGAAGTTAAACGTGAAAAAATGTAAAGAGCTAAGGACTTGTTTCTTCCGTGATACGCCTATGTTAGAACCGCTAACTATTGACGGAACAGCAATAGATGTTGTTGACTGCCACAAGGTTCTTGGTACCGTATTAAATAGTTCGCTAAAATGGGCTGATCATGTTAAAATGATTACAAAGAAAGCAGCTAAGCGGCTTCACATTATACGCACCTTAAAGAAAAGTGGTATGACCGCAGATGATTTATTAACAATTTATACTGCACTTATTCGTTCGGTCTTGGAGTACTGTTGCCCAGTTTGGCACACAAACCTACCATCGTATCTTAGCGACCAAATTGAACGGTTACAGAGGAGAGTTCTAAGAATAATTTACCCAAGTTTATCGTACAGAGAAGCACTGTCTGCTGCAGATTGCGTGCGGCTGGATGAAAATAGACAACGTCTGTGCTTTAATCTCTTCCAAAAGATAAAGTTAAATAGTGATAACAAACTCAATGCACTTATACCTAATTCAAGGCTCAGTGAACATGGTCGATCACTCCGCAACTCGGATAGCTTGTCTATTTTTAAATGTAGTACGGACCGATTTAAACGCAGTTTCTTTCCAGCGTTAACCCAATATTCAAATAATATATCCAGTTAATTATAATATTTTTTAACGTATGTAGGACATATAGTATATATCCAAATCGTCAATATTTTAACACTATCTATATAGTTATTTATAATCGTTACAACTTTTTGTAACATTTAATGCATGTATGTAGGAGAAATCATGTAAATAGAATATTTATATTTAAATTATCTGCTACTATATATTTGTTTTTAATAGAGTTACAATACTTGTAAATATAAAGTATTTCACTTCGGTGCAATTTTATATATTCAATAAACCTTTAATAATAAACCTTTAATAATAATAATGCTGACGCGAACCAAAATTTTAATTTAGCAAATCGCACGCTTGCAAACGTTTGTTAGTTACCAGTTTTAACTCGTCTTAAACCCACGCATGCGCATAACTTACAAAAACGCCCAACGTCCATGACATAATGGCGGACAACTTTCATTTCGCATTTGCATTCCCGGGCGTACGTAATTAAAATCTCCGGGGGGAATTAGTACCCTCGCCCGGTGCTTCGCACCGGCTCGGGGAAAAAGTTCTATTTCGTGTAGAAACAATCCGTCTGTCAACGGCACCCATTTTGCATTTTTGCTTTAAATTTCGCGTGGTTTGTGTATCAGGATTGGAAATTGAACTAAATAGTCGATCGCGCAATATTTTGCACTGAATAGAAATCTGCCTTAAGGGATATTGCCGATCAAAGTCTATATAGATACATTATGACAACGAAACGATCAATTATTGGAAAAAGAAATGTTGATTCTACAATACATGTATAACTTATTAGTACCTCGTGTAAGTATATCATTTGGGTCAATGGAGTTTTTTGCGTAGTAAAATCGTTCATAATCATGCGTTGCACCACTCACTCCATTTTCCCAAATGGTAAGAGCGATATGGCACATAAATTTTTGTTTATTTTTAACATGGGAAAATCGCAAATTCTTCATAGCGCTTTATCGCGGTTTTTTAAGACATAATTTTTAGCACCCAGTCCTGCCAGATTTTTATCCAGGATTTTCTACTTTCTTTAATATTTTCGCCTTTGTTGGGAATTTCAGGACTGTTTAGTTTTTTGTGCAAATATCGCGCCATTTTGCATTTCGTTATTCTTACTCTGTATCCTGAATGACGATTGGCTAGTTGTATATATACTGCAATTTTTTTTATTGGCTATCATATATATTTTATTGGCAAGGGTGCAATTACACATTGCAAAATGTGCAATTAGTATACGGTAATCATGCGACAGCGAGTGCAATTGGGGATTAATAGTACGAGTGATGTTTGAGAATTTTTACCAGAGTTGGATGAGCCGCTCAAATCCGACTTCTCTTAGCCAATGATATAACAGTATTTGCCGATGATTACAGTCTGAATGTAATAATCAACGAAATGTATCATTACTGAAATAAATCGGCTAATTAGCACGCCGTAATTTTAACATTACATCAATAACATTATACAATTAAAATTTTACAGTACATGACTGTCCTACCCTGCATAAACGATCAAACAACAACTCTCATGCGTCTTCTCTTCCTCTTAGATATTCAAGCCTCTGTCGAAGGTCAATTTGTGATTATAAATCTCGTCTACATCCCTGCCTATAATGATCCACAAAGTGTAGAGTACTTTCAAATTACTCAACTGTTAACCGTTGTGGTATGTACGACTACGACATTCTGATAAAATTTTAATATTCATGAAGTCGCTCTTGGGCTTTTGCTTCGATATTTTTGTTTTTTTATTCCATTCACCAACACTCACATACATTTCAGTTTCAATACGGAATATTGATAAAATTAGTCAGTGGCAATGGCGTCTGAACACTTTATGTCGAAACTGTAAAAAATGTCGTTTTAGATGAATTATCCATCATATTTCGTACACTCCCGTATGCGTTAATTGGACTTATATGCTTTAGTTGTTTGACTAGCGTATCATTATAAGTGTTGTGAATTGAAATAGTGTTCTGAATTCCGATCATTTTACCCTTACTTTTTCGAAATACCACAATATTTTAAACCCACGATTGTAAGTAATCGATTATAAGGTTTAAAGTGTTAGAGGTATAGCTAAGTTTGGTCCTCGCAACGCGTTTAAATTTATACCAATTAAAATTTCCAATTAAAAATCTTCACGATAGCAGATTAGCAGAACCGACGTCATGCATGAACAACGAAATATATGTTTAAAAGCTAGATTCGAGAGATTTCCTTTAAAAAAAATGCTAAAAGTTTTTTTTACCAAAGTCATCAATTTGTGAACAACACCATATAATCACAGCTTTCTATCTCTTACCCGGGCCCGTGTCAGTGCAATACTCACCATTGCACTGCACAAGCCCCGGGGTAACGGACAAAAAGCAAAATTGATGATTCATCACGTATTGATTCACCATGCAAAATATCAAGAATATTATTAAATTATTAAATTTTAACAAGAATATTTTTAATAAATTATATGCATAATTATCTATAATAGTTTATATTTTGTCTTTCTATAGCTTACGAATCTCTACACGAGAACAGCGAGGCTACGTTTTACCTTTCAGTCAATCATCATTTTACGACTATTGTAAGTTTTAACAGCCTTTTTGAGATTTTGCTCAACTCTTTGTTCACGGCCGTACCTAGAAGGTGTAAAGGTTTTACAAAAAACACAAAATTTTGAAATCACTGTCCTGCTGTTAAAAATTTGAATGACCGTACGAATTTTTTCCTGTGGGGATTAAACGCAAATAATGAAATGCTAGTTACAAAAATGTAAAATATTGTTGAATGTCGTAGTCATTGAGTTTTAGTCTATAAATTTATATTTTTTTGCATATTTGTGTATTATTATATATTGTTAATAAAGGTCATTTGTGGGTAGGTATTTAAACTCTAGTCTCTATCTATTACTTTGTGCGATTTAAATTTCGAGGTTTTTTGGGACTGTTTTTTTGAACGGATTATCCGTCAGTGTGTTGGGACATCGTATATATTCATGTATTCTTGTTTACGTATCATAGGAACAATAACGTACAAAGGAAATCAGTCGGGTCTAAGCAAGCGAATATATATATATATAATTATATATATATATAATTTAATATATATATATATATATATTCTCTTTTTTACGATTTCAGCCAAGGATCTCTTGGTTTTGATTACGTTGCAACATTCAATGATTCCGCTGGAATAACCAATGAAAATATTCAAGAAGAGTTAGTCGAGTCAATGAATGTAACGCAAAACGGCACATTTCTTGGAGCAGATCTCCAAATCAGCGAGAGCACAAATCTCACTGAAGTAAAAAGCCAATTTAGTGTGAAAGGTATTTAACTTCCAAATAATTATGTTAACGTTTATCCAATATTTTCGCTAACATATAACAAAAGCATTGCCAAATGGGTTGCCGAATGACACACCAGCGAGTTTAATAAGGGAATTTTTATTGTCTTAAAAGACTTTCCAGTAACAACTACCTTCGTCCGCAGAGGCGTTTGTGTAAAAGTATTAAAATAAGTAGCGGGCAGACGGGCAGGCTCAAGTTAAGAAAATACTCGAGAAGCCTCTGTCATATAATTTTTCTATTATGGTTTTAAATTACAAGATATTGCGTTTCTAAAGAATGATGTAATTAGGTTGAAGCAATTAGTAAGATGAATGAATATGATACATAATTTCATATGGCTGATGTGAATTCAAAAGGAATACAGCAGGGGCAACTGCCCCCACCCTTTACCAGTTGGGCAATGGGCGACTTGCGCTAAAGCAAAGCTTCACGGTAGTTTAGTTACACAGTAGAATTTTCCAATATGGCGATCGCGATGTGCTTTGTTGTGTTAACCGTGAATAACTCAACAATCCAGGAGTAATTTTTTTTATCTAGTTTAAGTAAAAAGCTTTTATAAATTCCTTAAGGCTTTTTCAGGCCTTTACCGTCTCATGGAATTTTTACAAGCTTTATATTTTGTAATATTCAACACCGTTGACAAGCGTGCGAAGTGAAACATGGCTTCGATTGAACATGGAGGAGCAGACATTTGCCTTTTCTTCACACTTAGGAGGTAGGTAAATGGATAAAAATCATTTTAAATGAAAGGCTCACTCTTGTTCGTTACGTGCGAGAAATATCTCGGCGATCGCGCTGTTTTCAGCAACTTGAGGGGTTAAAATGTTCGTACAACTAGCCAGCTAAAACAACACATGCTTTGATCAAGCGTTCCATTTTCAAACCAAAACATTGAGTTTGTTTGGCGGGAAAAATATCCGTTGAAATTGTTTGACATTTCATTTTTAGTGCAAAGTTTCTGTGAAACTTTGCAGTATTGTGGTGAGTGGCGAAAATTCACATCAGACAGTCAGACAGTCAGTCAGTCATAGTGTAAACTCCGGGGGGCGGAGTGTTTTTATGCGTGTAGTAGCTTTTTGTATATAATCAGTAATTTAAAGTTTTTAAATCAGTTTAACTTGCTTTATTTATTAATTCTCTACATCCCTTTTGCTAAGTTCACCAAAATATTGAGGAATTTTGACGGTTACTGTAAATTTTAAAGCATTGCTTTTCCGCGGTTTGGGTTTTGTTTCAAAGGGATTTGCGCAGATTTACCCCCGGAACACCCGATTTTTTCCTATACGTCGCAACTGCGCATGTGCCGTCAAGCCTTCAACATTATTCACGATGTAAAGAAACGAGGAGCGACGAGCATTGCTTCAAAACATTCCGAGCGTAAAAATCGTGCAATTCTTTGAGAATCTACGCAATTTATCAACTTATGTTATGAATTACGAGCATTCAATTCGACACAAATATAATTTGGAAGGTTTATTCCACGCTGTGTTGTTTATGTATTGATAGATCTCTTACACGAATGACGAATATATATTATGTCGATATATAGCAAGTCGATACCTGGTATTCTGCATACAGTACATAAATGATACTATACAAAACGGACATTTTGTGCAGTAATCAAATCATTTTGGCGGTATACAGTATTGATTATATGTAAATTGTTTTGTATCGATTTAGCTACGCGTCGAAGTATCCACATCATAGACATAATATGCACCGCGGTTTATTTACATTATTTACAACGCAACTATTTTGGCTATTCTTATGAAATGACGATAAATTGTTGCCATCATATAAATGTAGTGAATGTAGTCACAGTTGTTTGACGAAGAAAAGAGACTAAACTGAGACTAGGGATCCAAGGATAGTGCAAAGTTTCCATGCCCAAACATTTTGATTTATGCCAGTAAAATATAATGAACTAGGTTAAACATTAATGAAAAGGAAATTACTCAAAGCACTCAAGTTAGTGAAGTTACGTTAGTCGCAGCATAGGCAGCCCATGCAATGGCGAATGGTTTTATTTGATTTAAAAATGTACACTTTCATAAAATTCACACATATGTCATTTATTTACATGCTAATATACTTAAATCTTGTTACTTACAACAGGCGACTTGCTTGTCTGACAAGGCAATGTAGGTAGCCATTATATAGTATAATAATCCTAAGGTAGGCAACTTCAATCACAATATTCACATGCACACATGCAAACAGTCCAAAAATACGTCAATTTATCCCTAAAACTAAGCTAAAATAACAAGAGAAATGAAATCTACGATAATTTTACTATACACTGACTATATTTTAATAATTAAAACAAGTTATGGAACTAATGGAAGCGAGAAAAATGCGAAAAGTTTGTTGACTTTTGAGAACGTTTGAAAATGACGAATTTGCTATCTGATTGGCTGTCACAACAGCGAGAACAAAAACAGGCAATTAGATTACAAACTCGTCATTTTCAAACGTTCTCAAAAAGTCAACAGCGCGGGTCCAGCATCGGCCTATTCAAAAAATGAGTATAAAATCATAGGCGGCCCAGAACTGATCTCGCTGACCTTGCGCGACGCTCATGTTGTCTGAACAGTCTTTTATTATGACTGTTCAGACAACATATGAGCGTCGCGCGAGGTCAGCAAGATCAGTTCTGGGCCGCCTATGATAAAATATCAAAAACTTTTCGCATTTTTCTCGCTTCCATAACTTATTTTCATTATTAAAATATAGTCAGTGTATAGTAAAATTATCGTAGATTTCATTTCTCTTGTTATTTTAGCTGAGTTTTAGGGATAAATTGAAGTATTTTCGGATTGTTTGCATGTGTCCATGTGAATATTGAATATTGTGATTGAAGTTGCCTACCTTAGGATATATTTTAGTTGCTCATGTAAACCGGGCACAATTTTCTCAGTTTAGTCTCTTTTCTTCGTCAAACAACTGTGACGAAGTGTACATTCACTACATTTATATGATGGCAACAATTTATTCGTCATTTCATAAGAACAGCAAAAATAGTTGCGTTGTAAATAATGTAAATAAACCGCATTGCATATTATATCTATGATGTGGAACGTCGACGCGTAAATCGATACAAAACAATATACTTATAATCAATACTGTATACCGCTAAAATGATCTAATTACTGCACAAAATGTCGGTTTTGTATAGTATCATTTATGTACTGTATGCAGAATATCAGGACCGACTTGCTATTGACATAATATATATTCGTGTAAGAGATCTATCAAATTATTAATACATAAACAACACAGCGTCATTTCGTTCTATCCTCTTAGCTCTATTTATGGAATCAACCTTCCAAATTATACTTGTGTTGAATTGAATGCTCGTAATTCATAACATAAGTTGATAAATTGCGTAGATTCTCAAAGAATTGCTCGATTTTTACGCCCGAATGTTTTGAAGCAATGCTCGTCGCTCCTGGCTTCTTCACATTGTGAATAATATTCAAGGCTCGACGGCCCATGCGCAGTTGCGACGTATAAGAAAAAATCGGGTGTTCCGGGGGCAAATCTCTTTAAAACAAAACCCAAACCACGAAAAAACAATGCTTCAAAATTTACAGTAACGGTCAAAATTCATCAATATTTTGGTGAAATTAGCAAAAGGGATAGTGCATTAATAAATAAAGCAAGTTAAACTGATTTAAAAATTTTAAATTACAGATCATGTACAAAAAGTTACTAAAAGCATAAAATAAACTACCCCCCCGGAAAGTTTACACTATGACTGTATGAATGACTGATGTGAATTTCCCTACTCATCACAATACTGCAAAGTTTCTTTGAAACTTTGCACTAAAAATCGCGTCCGGTTTACATGGGCAACTAAAATTATAATTTAATAGTGACAGTATCCGCGGCTAACGTAACTTGAGTACTTTGAATAATTTCCTTTTGATTAATGTTTAACCTAGTTCATTATATTTTTACTGGCATAAGTCAAAATGTTTATGTTGGGAAAACGTGTTGCTTAGGTATTACAGGGCATGAAAACTTTGCACTATCCTTGGATCCCTAGTTAAACATTCACATTGTTGATATTGTTAAAAAGTACTGGTTGCTCGTTTACAATTCTGGAGAATTAGAAAAAAAATATTTTACGTATACTTGAAATACTCGAGCGTTACCGCCGTCTATTTTAACGAATTTTCGACGTGTCTTGTTGCTCTCTTTTTACGAAAATACTATGGAGGAAACGGAGGTAGCTTTAAAAACTAGAGGAGGAACAACCTGTTGTGTACCACTTTGTTCCAGCAATAGTGTGAAGAACAAGAATTTGTCTTTTTACAAATTTCCTTCGGAGTCACATAAGAAAGAAAAATGGCTAAACTTGTTAGGCATACAAAAACAGCCTTTAAAAAGCCACAAAGTATGTTCACTACATTTCCCGGGTGGTAAGAAAGTGTTGGATGCATTCCCAACTGGTCCTATGTCATCACATAGACCAACAAAAAATAGCAATGAAGGTCGGGGCAGTAATGTTAGTGCCAGCAATGATAGTACCAGCAATGATAGTACCAGTGTCCCTATCCTTGACAAACAGCAGTTGACTGAAGATGAAGATGAGCCTCTATACAATGACCCAAAAACTGAACTTGCTGAATTAAAAACTAAACATGAGGAATTGTTAATGAAATACAGCCAGTGTGTACTACGCTTAGAACATGTTATTGCAAGTGATGCAAATTTCAAGTTTTATACTAGTTTTCCGAATTATGCAACATTCAAAGCATTTTTTGACTACTTGCAACCAGCTTGTAATTTTTTAATGTATGCTGGATCATGTAACATGGAACATGTAGAGCCAAAAACAAAAGCACGGACGGCCACGGTCACTTTCCCCAGAACAAGAACTGTTCATGGTATTAGTTCGGTTGAGATGTGGATTGTTAGGACTTGACATTGCCAACAGGTTTGGAATTTCACACACCCAGTACTCACGCATTGAAACCACTTGGTTGGGGTTTCTTTACCACCGAATGAGGGCTCTCCCCATTTGGGCACCACGTAAACATGTTCAGGAGACCATGCCACAAGCCTTCAAAGATAGCTATCCTAATACCCGTGTTATAATTGATTGTACAGAAATTTATATTGAAATGCCAACATCATTTAGAAGTCAGTCTGCAACTTATTCCTCTTATAAAAATCACAATACTGCTAAAGGGCTCATTGGGATATCACCTGCTGGATATCCAACATTTGTATCTGAGCTACTGGGAGGTCCAGTGATACACAAATTACAAAAGATTGTGGCATTCTGAATTTGCTTGAGCCGGGAGATGACATCATGGCTGATCGGGGGTTTAATATTGAGGATGATATGCCTAGTGGAATTGGCTTAAATATCCCACCATTCCTAAATGGAGCTGATCAACTTTCAGTGAATGATGAGAGTGAAACAAGAACAATAGCTGCAGTTAGGGTGCATGTAGAAAGAGCAATTCAGCGCATTAAATGTTTCAGAATAATAAACACTTTCCCTTTGAGCATGACACCAGAACTGAACAAAATTTGAGTAATTTGTTCATATCTAACACTTTTCCAGCCACCCTTAATAAACGATAAGCCATCTGAGGAAACAATTACTGAGGGCACATAATATTCTGTAATTTGACAGTTTAATTAATCTTTAAGTTCAGCATAAATGTAACTAAAGTAAAAAGAAGTAAGCTTTGGAAGCATAGTTTTGCTCCACAATTCATGATCAAAGTATATCCGTTCACAATGGACTTCCTTTGTAGTATATACCACAAAGTCAGTCCATTCTACGTTGCATGAAGCCATGATGCCCTGCACCTGAAAATAATATGCATGACTTCTTTTCAACATAGGTTTAGGGTCCTTCACATCTGCCACTTGCAGATAAAATGAAGGATCCGTGCAGGCTTCTTTGATGTTCATGTCCCTTTTGGAAAACGGACACTTGACCTCTCCAATACCATATGGATTCTCTTCACTGGGGTCATACAATAAAAAATCTGGACTTGCACCTAGCCATGGAGCTTGTGCATTGACTACCAATCTACACTCAACACATGCTTTGATTTGTTGTCCATTGTCAAGACAGTTTTCTAAATGTGTCATGATTGCATTTTGTTCATTGTTACGTCCCCATTCACATGATTGTGGTGCTTTTGTTTTGCTGCCAGCCAATGAAAACTGCTTTGAGAGTAATGATTTTGGGAAAATATTTTCCCGACGTTTTAAAACTAGGCCAAAATTTGAGGCTGTTAAACGAAGACGCCTGTCCGCAAACCAAAGGTCATTGTTTGACTGCCCTCTTGTGCTGCATTCAATATCATGCAATTGTTGTTTTGTTTTAAAAAGTTTTTCCTGAACAAAAGGTGTATGCTGTGGAGGACAGGGCACATTCTTACACACTTCAGCAAGGCTGGGAATCGTAATTGCATTCAAGATTTTATCTCTAATTTCCACATTATATAGAAGATTGGCCCTCTGTCCAGCCTCAGTAAATCTTTTTTTTGAGGGCAGAGCTTCTTGAAACTCCTTGTAATCGAATGGTTTACAATTGTTTGATTCCAAAAGGCTTTCAAAATAATTGCTTGTGTTAGCAGATTTTAGCCCATTCTTTAGTCTTATAATGTCACTTTGATTTGCATTCTTAGCAAAAGCAGGTGCTGGGTTATTGTCAGTTAACAAGGTAGTTGAGTAAGGTCTCTTTTTTGAAGTGGCTTTGGTAAATTTGACATGATCAAAAAGTACAGCAGATTTTGTGTATTCACTTGCTGGTACATGCCACTGTTGTAGCAGTTGTGTACAAGATAGGTCATCTGGAACTTCATTTAATTCAAGTTGAATGAAGTCAAGAATTTGAAATAATAAGGCAGCTACATGCTTGCAGCAACCACCCTTTCCAGCAATACAAGAACAACTTGCGTGCGAAACTTTACCAGTGTCCTGGTGTAAATGAACATACACATTATATTGTGCCTTCTTCATTGATGCATGAACCTCGCTTTTCACAAGAAAGAAATGCTCAGTGCCTTTCATTACATTAGCCTTAACTTGTACTTTCGTGACCATTTTTTCTTTGAAAAGTTGATAGCCATACTTTTTATGTTTGATAGCATTTGGTGGTTTTCCATGTTTAGCTGAGGTGTCAGTAATTAGGTGTTGTTTAAGCAGTTCATGTGTGAACGGAGGCATGCCAATAAGTTTTTGTCCACTGTATGCTTGTACCAGGAGATTTACTATCCGTTTCCTCCATAATATTTTCGTAAAAAGAGAGCAACAAGACACGTCGAAAATTCGTTAAAATAGACGGCGGCAACGCTCGAGTATTTCAAGTATACGTAAAATATTTTTTTTTAATCCTCCAGAATTGTAAACGAGCAACCAATGGTGTTTAAAAGTACTTTTTAACAATATCAACAATGTGAATGTTTAAAAATGAAATGTCAAACAATTTCAACGGATATTTTTCCCGCCAAACAAACTCAATGTTTTGGTTTGAAAATGGAACGCTTGATCAAAGCATGTGTTGTTTTAGCTGGCTAGTTGTACGAACATTTTAGCCCCTCAAGTTGCTGAAAACAGCGCGATCGCCGAGATATTTCTCGCACGTAACGAACAAGAGTGAGCCTTTCATTTAAAATGATTTTTATCCATTTACCTACCTCCTAAGTGTGAAGAAAAGGCAAATGTCTGCTCCTCCATGTTCAATCGAAGCCATGTTTCACTTCGCACGCTTGTCAACGGTGTTGAATATTACAAAATATAAAGCTTGTAAAAATTCCGTGAGACGGTAAAGGCCTGAAAAAGCCTTAAGGAATTTATAAAAGCTTTTTACTTAAACTAGATAAAAAAATTACTCCTGGATTGTTGAGTTATTCACGGTTAACACAACAAAGCACATCGCGATCGCCATATTGGAAAATTCTACTGTGTAACTAAACTACCGTGATGCTTTGCTTTAGCGCAAGTCGCCCATTGGGGCTAAGGTGCCCTTACACGATGCAATTTTGTTCGATCCAATTAACTTCTGATGTATGGGATGTAGTGTATTATCGATGAAGCAATACTGGGTTGGCTTCAGTTTATTTGCTGCCCATATTCATTGCAAGTCAACTGAACAAACTATTAAATTGGGTGAATAGGGTCCAACAAATTTGGATCGTGTAAACTGGGCTTCAAGTAGAAGTTTCAAGAACGAGTATGGACAATATCACAATCGTCTAAACACGATGACACGAGGTTCAATGGGTCAAACAATGCTTGCAAACATTCTATATTTCGGTTATTACGCATTGCTACAGGAGTGCCTTTTTACCAAAATCTGTCCCCTTTGCCACCTCGCATCGTTCCGGGGTCCCTGGTTATATAGTCCAAAGTTTCAGTATTGTGGTGAGTGGAAAAAATTCAAACGGCCGTTTTGCACGGGCAACTAAATTACAATACAATGATGACAACATTGCGCCTAATGTACATTAATTTTGATTATCCTGGACTCCTTGATTGTGATTTAATGGTAAATTTTTTAGTAGTAGAACACTTTAATAGTAAATTTTTTACAGTCCATATCGAACTATACAACCAACGAAATTATTTGGAATTACAATTGTAATCTAGCCAGGTAAAGGAAGCGTACAAATTTCAGGATAATTTTTAGAGCAATCGAAATACTGAAAAATAAACTTTCTGCTTGAATCACGGTTTTGTTAAACCGGGTTCTTTAGATTTTTACTGGCAGAAGTTAAAACCCTCATTCTGTTATGTTGGGGACAGACGACACGTTGCTGAGGTATTAGAGGGCATGAAACTTTGCACTATCTTATGGATTCCTAATTTCAAAATCATGACCAAGGAGACATGTTATAAATTTCACAACAGAATAAGCACATGCGTGCATATGAAAGGTTTACACTGGTGAAGGGATTCCGCTCATTATTTGCTCAACTTGGTGCCGAGACAGAGAAAATAGCTTATCCTAAGAATATCACCGAGGCAATATTGACTTACAATTCTCAGGGCCAAAAATTATGGATTAGGCGCAAAATAGCTTTATGCCAGCTATGCATTTTGCATGCCCCTTCCGCAGCTCAGTTTTCTGAGCATTAATGATGACACATTAAATTTTACACCGTTTTGGGATAATATTGGCTAGGAGTAATGGTTCTCCTAGCCGCTTTATCTCTTGCAAACAAAAAATATTTATGATTACATTCGATTAAAATTCCAAATATTATGTATATACGCCTACTAACATCGCTAAGATATAACGGTCTTCTCTCTATATATATCAGCTACTGTAAATTATCCAATGTACATAATTGTTAGTGGAGGCTTTGGGGAGGAGGTGGGTTCAACTTTAAACGAGCTCTGTCTTTTGCGATGTCACGCTTAATCTGACCGTTTGTGGTTTGGGTATTTGGTCTTTGTTAGTTTTCAAATTGCTGCTGGCCATTCACCACCATTCCCATATCGCGTGCACTTCGTACCTGACGGTCTCTTAGATTGGGCGCCAAGCCCATCATATAAGAGTTTTAATTATTGTCGGCAAGGCGTATCTTCTTGGGGGTACACCTTTCCTTAGTAGTCTATTTATAATAACATTACATAAATTTCTTATTTCCTTCGTAAATATTTTGTTTTTCACTAAGGCTTTTATTATTATTAATAGTACAGGCGTGCGATGGCGAATATTAAAGTTAAATTATTAAAATACGACTGATGTTTAAAGATATTGCCAAAATAGGACTAGTCGTCGGGGAGAGTTAATCCCCAATTGTACGAACAATATTACTTGTTTATTATTATCATAAGAAAATCGTATAACTTTGGTAGCTTTGTTGCGAACTTTCGTTTACCTTTTTGGCCTTTTTATTTCCTCCAGGGATGTTTAGTTTGTTCGCAAAAAACTTTCCGCCATTTTATTATTTTTACGATCGTTAAAATTAATGGTATTATACAATTTTTTCTCCCAGATTATGACGAATGTAATCCTCAAAATAGTATCCATACTCCTGATTGTGGTAACAACGCGTTATGTAGGAACACAAACACAAGTTATGAATGTATTTGTCATTCTGGATATGAAAAAAATAACACAGGCTGCATTGGTAAGCATAAACACGTCTACTATAGGGTTTGATATCTATTTTTGTCTCAAGTGTTCTGGATTTATCAAGTGGCAATCGTGTCCATTCTAAGTTGTTTTTGGAAAGGTATTTAAGTGCTTTTAACGTATTTTTTCGTAATAGTGTTGTTTGTTTGCATGCAGTGAAATTGAGACTTACCAAACTGCGTGGTATACGGTTTATACATGAGTGTTCCACGTTTTAAATATGGATTCGTGCGCTACTTCATGCGATGCAAATTACGTATGAAATGTTATAGATGGTTTTATGATATAATATATTTTGGAATATTTCTTCAATCCTTCTTACTTCTCCAACATTTTTCATTCGCTATCCAATTAGTTATCGCAGCACGAAAATAGTACTCTGCACCGAATGTGCGCATTCATCAAAACTGCCCGTCTTCTTCGCCAAATATTCATGATTTATTACCTTTAAAGATGTTGACGAATGCGCACTTGACACTGACAACTGTCACAATCAAGCAACGTGTAAAAACACCAATGGGTCGTTCACTTGTACCTGCAATGAAGGGTATACAGGAAACGGAACTACCTGCGAAGGTATGTGCTTTCTATTACTTTTTGTTTTTCATAAAATATTTTTTTCATAAAAAGAAGGATTATAACTTCTACAGTCTATTTGGACGTTACTATATGAACGTGCATTAATTATTCAATCTTTGCTGCCTTAGAAGATGCTGACAAATGCAAACTTTGAACTCATAATTAATTGTCACTGATGAGATTGTCAAAGCAACAGTCATAATTATGACAGTGAAATTTGACACTGCTATATGAACAAAATATGCACATCGAGTTATTAAACAGTGTCCGTCGTTTAATGTTCAATTATATTATCTTTGAAGATGTTGACGAATGCACACTTGGGACTCGTAATTGCGACAGTAAGGCAACGTGCAGTAATACCATCGGTTCGTTCATTTGTACCTGTAACGACGGTTATACAGGAAATCGTACTGCATGCGAAGGTATGTGCTTTGCATTACTATTTTTTTAAAGTTTTGGTCTAAATTTAAAATCTAAATTTCTGGAATCGGAATGCGAACAACTCTAACAACACTGCCGCTTTGGAACACATATAACTATAATAATTATAAACTGCTCAGCAAGATTAATAATAACCCGTTAACTGTTAATCATTAAAGAAAACCAGCTCCTTCGTGAAATATTCAATCTTTATTACATTTGAAGATGTTGACGAATGCACACTTGGGACTCATAATTGCGACAGTAAGGCAACGTGCAGTAATACCACGGGTTCGTTCATTTGTACCTGTAACGACGGTTATACAGGAAATGGTACTACATGCGAAGGTATGTGCTTTGCATTACTATTTTGTTATAGTTTTGGTCTAAATTTAAGATCTAAATTTCTGGAATCGGAATGCGAACAACACTAACAACACTGCCGCTTTGGAACACCTGTAACTATAATAATTATAAACTGCTCAGCAAGATTAATAATAACCCGTTGACAGTTAATCATATTGTTAATCATTAAAGAAAACCAGCTCCTTCGTCGGAACGTGGTATTAACGTAAGGTAACGTTAAAGTCCGACGTTAATACAACGTCCGTACAACGTTCAACTCAACGTTCATATAACCTAATGTCCGACGTTAATGCAATGTTCAGCTAATGTTCAGCGCCAACGTTGGGCTTACGTTTAAACAAGGTTCAACCAACGTCAAGATAACGTTGGATATCAAGGTTGAGAGAACGTTAATTATATCGGGATATTTGAAAATTTCTGCAACTTCGTTTGCGAGCTTGCGAATACAGATAATTAATGGCTATCTTTAAAACCAGGAACGGGGAATCGAGGAAGGGAACGGGGAAGGGAACGGGGAATGATAAAACAAGGAATGGGAAAAGCCGGAATCTTTAAAACCAGGAATGAGAAAAGCCGGAATCTTTAAAACCAGGAATGGGAAAGGCCGGAATCTTTAAAACCAGGAATGAGAAAAGCCGGAATCTTTAAAACCAGGAATGGGAAAAGCCGGAATCTTTGAAACCAGGAATGAGAAAAGCCGGAATCTTTAAAACCAGGAATTAGAAAAGCCGGAATCTTTAAAACAAAGAATGAGAAAAGCCGGAATCTCTAAAACCAGGAATGAGAAAAGCCGGAATCTTTAAAACCAGGAATGAGAGAAGCCGGAATCTTACGGCCGGAAGTTTGTAACTAAATTAGCTACAATTTCCGCGCGTAATACAAAATATGCTAATTTGACATGGCTATATTTTCCGTATTTTACCAAATTTCGCAGCCAAGTTTAGCATTTCCACTAATTCAAATACGCTCAATTCTTTTATCTGTTATATGGAACATAAACTGCATTCTTTTGTGGTGGAAGGGATATATAATACATATATATATATATATATATAGTTATATATATAAGTTGTTCTCAAAGAGCCAAGACAAAATCAGCCTCCAGTCTTTAAAACCTTCGGTGAGAATGGTAACTGTTTAATTATAATCTGAGTTAATTAAGGTACACAATGCACTAAGATATTTTCATTTTCTATACAATTTTACTTACAAGCAAAATTATGTAATATTTGGGACAACAAAAGTGTAGTGCATTGTTCAGGGGTAATCTGATTCAATAATGAAAAGCTTTTACCATGAACTATGACAAATATATATTGCAAAATAAGCTTAATATGTATGTATATTAAATGGAGCAAAATTGTGGTTTGCATAAATTTATACTGATATACTAAGTAGCTGTAAATACACTGTACTGAATATAGAAAAGATATAATATATTGTGTATTTAATGAAGTTGTTCTTGCATATTTTATATCATGCAGTATGCAATTCATATGAAAATTTAGAAATTCAAATTTGGATTCAAAAAGTTTTCATTTCCAACCAAACATTATTCAATTTCAATAGCAATGTAGATATTAAACGGTAGATAGCAACGCGCAAAGCTCCACTTTGTAGGTTTATGAATGAGACCAAATCAACAAATTTAACTGTTCACAAACTAACCTTAATTGTCAGTCCTTGTGTTCGTTTCATCGTTTGTATAAATATATATGTATTATATATCCCTTCCCCCACAAAAGAATGCAGTTTATGTTCCATAAAATTATAACAGATAAAAGAATTGAGCATATTTGAATTAGTGGAAATGCTAAATTTGGCTACGAAATTTGGTAAAATACGGAAAATATAGCCATGTCAAATTAGCGTATTTTGTATTACGCGCGGAAATTGTAGCTAATTTAGTTACAAACTTCCGGCCGTTAGATTCCGGCTTTTTTAATTCCTAGTTTTAAAGATTCCGGCTTTTCTAATTCCTGGTTTTAAAGATTCCGGCTTTTCTCATTCCTTGTTTTAAAGATTCCGGCTTTTCTCATTGCTTGTTTTAAAGATTCCGGCTTTTCCCATTCCTGGTTATAAATATTCCGGCTTTTCTCATTCCTGGTTTTAAAGATTCCGGCTTTTCCCATTCCTGGTTTTAAAGATTCCGGCTTTTCTCATTCCTGGTTTTAAAGATTCCGGCTTTTCTCATTCCTGGCTTTTCCCATTCCTTGTTTTATCATTCCCCGTTCCCTTTCCCGTTCCCTTCCTCGATTCCCCGTTCCTGGAATTCCCAATACCCGAGTGTAATTCCTAACCTCCGGGCGGAATTAGTGCCTTCGCACTGGCTCGGGGACAATGACGCGAGGAAGCACAGTATTGGTGGTTCAGTTGGCTTAGTTGCGCTTACTGCATGCTTATCAAAAACAAAAATCCTAAGATCAAAATTCTTAGGATCAAAATCCATCAGAGGATCAAAATCCATCAGATCGCCTTCAGTTTACGTGCAGGCAGAGGTTTCCAAAACAGGTTAATTAACAACTGGTGTTTTAAATAAACAACTGGGGCACCAGGATTGTTTTGAAGCTGCTCAAACTTTTAGTTGGAAATATTCCGTTTTATTATTAAGAATTGTAGTAATGATGCATTGTGCTCTTTTGAAATATTAGGCTAATAGTCCTTTTCGGTAATTACGGCCAACATTTTAACATCACAACGTCTTAAATTTAGAACCACCTTAAATGAAATGGATTTCAAGTTTTACTCTCACGAGCCACGTGCAGAGATGCAAAAACATCCTCTTTCAACACATGCATGAGATTTTTTTTATTTTTACCAATAAATGTGGAAATAAGCCAAAACATGAGAATTAGGCTCAGGTGGGAAGACCGCGAGCCTCGTTCTCGAGTTATGACTTATTTCCATACTTATTTGTCAAAATGAAAATTTTTTTTTCGTGCATGTCTTGAAGAAGAATGTTTAATTGTATCTTTGCACGTGGCATGTGGGAGTAAAACTGAAATCCATCTGATTTAATTAAGGTGGTTCCAAATTTACAACGATAATGCTGTGACGTAATTACCGAAAAGGTCTATTGGATTTTCCATATCTTTCTTTGCAGACATAAACGAATGTGTTGGAGCATCGCGAAAATGTTCAGGTGCAGGTCAGGAATGTGTCAACTACCCTGGAGCATACCGTTGCCATTGTACCAGTCCACGACAGCATATTATTGATGAAGAATGTACTGGTAGGTTTCGCGTTTCATCATTGGCAACATCGGCCACCTGCATGCATGTGCCTGCAATTCCTCTTAAGGCGATTGTTTCTGTATCTTATAATGAGATTTTCACACCGGTGTTCTCAATGTAATACAAACCTAGCCAATCAGGGCATTGCTGATTACCAGCCTGGTTCATATTTCGCGCATGCGTCTCATCAACAAAAACATCGACTGTCTAACATCCAACATACACTGTCCATAAACTTAAAATTTAAACAATTTTGGTTTCTGTATATTGTGCGACACAATGCCCTGGTGTAATTAAAATATCTGGGCAGAATTAGTACCCGTAAACGAATCGTACTCGACATCGCGTAATTACCTCTACAAATTGCGCATTTTGCGAGTGAAAACAAGTAAATAAATATTGGTTGATTTTGTAATCACCCGAAGTCCCGAATGATTTTGCAAAAATAAATAAACTGCGCGAAGTTATTTGCACAGAAACTAAACAGTCCTGTAAGTCCTAACAAAGGCCATAAAGTTAACGAAAATACTAGAAAAAGTAGAAAATATTGGATAAAAATCTGACAGAACTGTGTGTTAAAAATTCTGTTTTAAGGTGGTATAGTACATTAATTTTTTTTCTCTTATTTCGAAAAATATAAAAATCTTTTCATGACATGTGGCAAGCCAAGTTGCTCTGAGTGAAAAAAGAATTGTAGGAATCTTCAATCACTATAGTTACCCAGACCAAAAACACCAAATGTTGGAAGATAGACTATTCTTGTGAACACGATAACAAACTGGGTTTTTACGCTAGAACGACTGAATTAGTTTTATTTAGTGCTAAATATTTTTTTCGCGGAGCTGAACCTCAAATGAATAAAACTTTTCCAGGATTAAACATTTTACAGGCTATTAATATAAAACTTCTAAGATCTATCTCAAATAACCAGTCGCTATTTTACTTAGACTGAACGGAATACAACAATTTTAGGTTCACGTCCGAGCCAATTGTCTTTAAAGTCTACCATGAAAATTTTATCAAGTTAGCTTTATTACTTTTTGAATTATCGTGCACGAAGGTAGGGGGAATGAGAATTTTAGTTTGCTAAGAAAAGCGACGAAAAAAGTTTTGCATATATTCACAAATCATCGAGAACCATACAATAGAACAATGAAACAATGGAATACGCCAATTAGTTAAACTATTCGTTTAATTCTCGCGTTCTTTATATACTTTTTTTGAGAAAAAATATTCAGGGTCGATTACGGAATCATTTAAGTTTGCACTTTGCTTCTCTGGAAATTTTTAAAACAGATAAATTGTGATTTTCAATGTACTAGACCCCCATTTAAAAAACTGCAACACAGGGCTACGAAGATTTCACAATTTAACCATATTATGGAGTAATGGAGCGAGTGGTGCAATGCATGATTATGAACGATTTAAATATTAATAATTAAAGCTCCATTGGACCGAAAATATATACTTACATCAGGTACTAATAAGTTATACAGGTATTGTAAAATCAACATTTTGTTTTCCAATATAAGATCGTTTCGTTGTCATAATGTATCTAGTCATCTAGACATTGATCGGCAATATCCCTTAGGTTTAGGGAGTGTTGCAAACAACTTGTAAAATGAATTTGTAATAAATAAGATTTGAATGCACATGCAAATCAGTTACAAACACTAGTAACTGTAGTCAATCTAATTTGTAGGGGGGTATACTGGGTGTGCATGTGACCTTCGAAATTTTTTTGGGTAAAAACCTAATTAATTATTCATGCTTTAACATGATTATACAGTGTTTGCCAACGATCACAGAAGATAATAATTATAATCAATGAAATAACTCAGCTCGCATTCATGTAGTACACGCATACACTATTGCATGACTCCTTTACTTATACAATTAAAATTTTACACTATACATTACTGTCCTACCCCACTTAAACGGTCAACTAAACCACAACTTACACGCGTCTTCTCTTCCTCTTAGATATTCAGGCCTCTGTCGAAGGTCAATTTGTGATTATAAATCGCGTCTACATCCCTGCCTATAATGATCCACAAAGTTTAGAATACTTTCAAATTACTGAACTGGTACTCATTGAGGTACGTCAAGAACGTCATTCTGATAAATATTCATGAATCGCTTATGTGCTCTTTGCCTGCATGGAATGTCAATTATGTCTTGGCGAAATGATTGCCCCTCCCCTCTATGAAAAATTGTGCAAATTTAAAACGATTTCGCGCAACGTATATTGAATGTGTTCGAAATTTAGGTAATTAGCCTTATTTTTTCGAAACAAAAAATTTCAACCTGCGATGGTAAGTAATCGACTATAAGGTGAACTGTTTTGGAGGAGTAAGTTTGGTCCTTGTAGCGCTTTTATACCTAAAATTTTCCGTAAAGGATGTTAAAATCTTAATACATAAGTAAGTTTTTCTTTTTTGAAAAATTACTAATTTCGCAAAGTAATAAATGAGTTTTTTTGTACAAGGTAAAACTGTATAAAACATACTGGCGATGGTGAGAGAAATGGGAATGGCTTAGGAGGAAGTAGAACTGACAAAAAGTAGTTCTTTGTTCATGAGAAATGGTTTTTAAATTCGAATTTAATCAACATGTAAACTTTCAGCGAAAGATTGGCTGAGATTAAACCAATAGTCGATATAGTTTAATTTTTATACAACGTTTATTTCGCTCAGAAAATGGTATCTATGGTAGCTGTATTGTAACACACATAACCACTTCTCCCGTCGTATATATGCACGATATACGCACCTTGTCGGATATTAGCTCATATAACAATACGGCTCGAGCTCGTGGTGTAATTTTTAAACATATATATATATATATATACATAATTATGTATGATAATTCATAAATTGTCTTCCTATAGCTTACGAACCTCTACACGAGAACAGCGAGGCTACGTTTTACCTTTCAGAGATGCATCATTTTACGACTATTGTAAGTTTTAACAGCCTTTTTGAGATTTTTCTCAACTCTTTATACAGGGCCGTAGTTGTACAGCTGCATATACAGGGTGTCCCAAAACCCCCCACAAAACTGTTGAAATCACCTGTTGTTAAAATTTGAATGACCTGCGGATTTCTGCCTGCGGGGATTTAACGCAAAATCATAAAATGCTAAAATACAAAAATGTACAATTTGCCAGGGAGGAGGGACATGTTGAAGGTCATGGTGCTTAAGTTGTAGATCTAAATTTGAATATTTTATGCATATTATTTTGTAAATTGTAAAATACTTTTTAAAGGGTGATTTGTGGGTATTATGTATTTAAGCATTCAAACTCTAATACAATTACTTTGTTATGGGTAATAGAAGAATACTTTAACAAATTTATAGTCTTAAATAAAAGTTTGCGCAGCAAATTTTTCTGACTAGATTCGCCACAGTTTTGGGACCCCCTGTATTTTCATGTATTCATGTTTACATATCGAATGAACAATAGCGTACACAGGAGGCTGGCAATACAAAGGCGGGGAAAGAGTAAAATAGGCAGCTCGTGGTATACTCATTTTGCCGTTCCGTGCCGATAAACTGAGTGTAGTGTAAACGGGGCTTGAGGTGCCATCGTATATAGCTTTTCATAACCGCGTTAAACTTAAAAATAATATATGGTCCCAGCATACAATATATACAGACGGGGGTTTTTTTTTATTTGCTCGGTAAGACGCCATGTTTGGAATCGCTATTCAGTGTATCGAACAAATAGAAAATCCCCTAAACGCTGCCAAACGCTGTGCGAGAGACTATAAACTCACAGAGATTTAAATTGCACTAGTGTGAATTCTGAATTGCGACAATGGGATTTACATGCACATCAGCTCTATGGTATACAGGGTGTCCCTAAAAAACGAAAACTATTGAAATCTCTCATTGTTAAAATTTGAATGCCGTGTGCACGAATTTTAACCCGTGGGGATTTAATGCAACTCAGTGAAATACTAAATGCTTTGTGTTGCTAGAGAAAGGGGAGATGTCGAAGGTCATGGGGATTGAGATGCACATTTGAATATTGTTAATAAATATCATTTTCGCGTACGAGCAAATTTTACTGCATCATATACATGCATAAAAATGCTTATGGCAAACATTTACACACTTGTGGGTCCCAACAGAGTGCTTAGGCATTCAAACTCTAACAATTACATTGTTATGGGTGATTTCAATAGTTTTCGTTTTTTTTGGGACACCCTGTATAAAGGGTGTCCCAAAAAAACCCGAAAACTATTGAAATCACCCATAACAATGCAATTGTTAGAGTTTGATTGCCTAAGCACTCTGTTGGGACCCACTCGCCCACAGGTGTATAATTGTTTGCCATACGCATTTTTATGCACGGCTATATGATGCAGTAAAATTTGCTTGTACGCAAAAATGATATTTATGTGCAATATTTACAATTTACAAATATGGATAACAATATTTTTAAATGTGCATCTCAAGGACCATAACCTTCGACATATTCCCCTTTCTTTAGCAACACAAAGCATTTAGCATATTTTATAAGTTGCATTAAATCCCCACGGGTTGAAATTCGTGAACACGGCATTCAAATTTTAACAATGAGTGATTTCAATAGTTTTCGTTTTTTGGGACACCCTGTAGAGCCTATCGATGGAAGTCCCAAGAGGGCCAAGATAAAAGTTTGTTAGCTATAAGGGGCTCCATATAGGGATTTTGATTTACTGAAAGGTTTATTCACGGTGTTCTGTTTTTTGAATATAGCCCTAATATTATATGAGGGTTGTGCATGGATATGTATCTGGATATGTAGCGTTGGTTAATTGCTTGCTCCCCCGGCTTTGTAGTTTCCATAGCGATCGATTCGAAGTCCATATCGAACCGTTATAATTGTTATATGATTTACAGATATTTTCCGTGGAATTTGCCTAGATCATTCTCAAAAATGTTTGTATCCTGTTATCGTAATTTCCACTTTCGCAATGTCATATACATTTTCGTTGTAAAAATACGGTTTCAAAATCTAATCCTCATATTTGAACTGATAGATAATACATTATTCACGATGAATGAACATGCTATTGGTGAAGAACAAAGTTTCTGGTGGTAAACGTTAAGTCACGTATACGAATCTTGCATTGTATATAATTATTTAGATAAGTCTAATTTTCTCCTTTTTACAATTGCAGCCCAGGATCTGTTGGTTTTGATTACGTTGCAACATTCAATGACTCCGCTGGAATAAACAGTAACAATATTAAAGACGAATTAGTCAATTCAATGAATTTCACACAAAACGGCACATTTCTTGGAGCATATCTCCAAATCAGCGAGAGCGCAGATCGCACTGAAGTAAAAGGCCTTTTCAGTGTGAAAGGTATGTAACTCCCAAATATAGCTATTTTCGTTTCATCCATGCAATAGTTTCGAAACAAGAAATACATGCAAGCAAAATCCGCTCGCCTGCATGAAGCAATTAACATACATTTCCAACAGTGAAATTTTATTATAGCCGAATTCATATTAACGACGGGAAACTCGTCTAATGTGAATCCGGTCACAGACGGCCCTCCCGTCCGACTTACCCATCAAACTTTCGCGTCTAAACAGATGGGTAAGTTAGACGGGAACCCCGCCTAGACAAAAAACTCGTCTGGACAAGAGACGAGTTTCTGAAATATCAACACGGTCAAGGACGGAACAAGGCTAAAAGAAATCTAACAATTTTTTATCGTAATAATTACGATACCCTTTTTGGCTTTACCCGAATCATCAGACGTATTTTTAAATTTATCCATTCCTTTTCATATTTAGACGAAGATTTAGGACATAGCTACCATCAACTTTCCCGTCTAATATGAATTTTGCTATAATACTCGTTACTGCTGAATGATTGAATTCGTAAAAATAAAATCCTATAGCTATGATCAAGTACACTTAAAAAGTCGATTCTCGAGCTATAAATGCTTTAATCAAAATAATTTTAACGAATTTGATGAAAATAATTCTAAGAGGTGTCATACATTTGTTGATAAATCCACCTATCAAACTTACAAAATACGTGTTTTTAAATAAAAAATCTATCTTTTCAAAAACATATAAGAACAAATGATTTACCAGTATCTAAAAACTGTGTCATTCTAAATTATGCGAGTAATTTCTGTCAAAAATCCCTTTTCCTGCGGATTTCTGCCTAAATTGTGCTGGTGAAAATGTCCGATTTCGGCGGAACAGGAAAAATGTATTTTTTTTGAATTTTTTTTTCAATTTTTTGCATAATTTTGTCGCAGCAAATCAAATATAGCTAGCTTCAAATTCCATAAAAAAAACCAAGAAAATTTGCTGAAAATTGTTAAGTTTTTCATTTCGGAGCCCCCTTTATTACGAATAAGAGATAAATTTAGGGATTAATAGTGGTGTCCGAATTTCGGAAACCCTTACCGGAAAAATCTGCTGAAAATTGTTAAGCCTTTCAATTTGGGGGGGAAAAGGGTGTCCGAATTTCGAAAACCGCTATAAGAAAATCTCCTGAAAATTGTAAAGGCTTTCATTTTGGGGAAAGATAACTAGGAATGTCCGAATTTCGGAACCCCTATGTATATTATGAACCCGAGATAAATATAGGCAATAATAGGGGTGTCCGAATTTCGGAAACACTTATATTACAGAATTGGGATGAATATAAGAAGGTTGGAAATTCGGAAATCCATACTATAACGTAATTACAATATTCTTAGTCTATGACAATTACCGCATAGTTGGTTTTTCGGAATGATATTTGTCTATAATAGTGCCATGAATTGACATATTTGGTAATTAGAACCGGTAATCCGAGGTGACACCTCCAGTAAGCTTCTTAGGATGGGTAATGTTATTGGCAAACGACTATCTAGTCCTGCACCAGTTTTGCCGTAGCGTTTTAATGGATAAGATGCAGAATCACTGACACTGTTTGTGTGATATGTTTGAAAGTGCATAATAAAAGTACAAATCTGAGCAAGTAGTTCTGAGACGTAGCTAGGACGGGGAAAGAAATTTTGGGCCCCTCCTGAGAAGTGAGGTGAATCATTGTTATTTCGTCAATAATGCCAAAAATCTGTATGTGATCTTGCCCATCGAAATTTCCCATCGAAATTGTCCATCATTAATGTAAAAAAAACCTGCACAGAATGTTTGCATGAACTTTGTCTCGATTCACACTGACGGCCTGGACTCACCTAGGTTCTTGCTGCCCCCCCCCCCCCAATATCCTGGCCACGCCTCTGAAGTATGGCGTAAATAAAATATTTAAGAAAAATTCCTCCATTCTTGTATATTACTCATTTTACAGATGTGAATGAATGTTTACAAGCTCCATGTGGCATTAATTCAATCTGTACAAACACTGAAGGATCGTACGTTTGTGGATGTCATATTGGATATGAAAGAAATGCGGAAACTACAAATTGTGCAGGTAAAACTATGCACTTTCCTTTTTGAGAGTTTGCAGAAGAACCCTCTTTGTTTTTACATAACCATTTTCCTTTCTCTGTGTTTAACTTTATTCGTCTAAAAAGGGCGTAAGTAAATATTAATTATATTGAATTTATGAATCATATATTGTGAAGTACTTACTATTCTTGGAATAAGCAAGAAGGGAAATTAAATAGAAAAATTTATTTCTCTTTTTTCTTTATTTTTTCAGATGTTGATGAGTGTGCAATAGGCCTGTGTAGTTTAAATGCCAACTGCACAAACACGAATGGTTCATATTTTTGTGTATGCAAAAGTGGCTATGAGGGAAATGGGAGAATCTGTTTAGGTGAAAACTTCGCTATCTCTATTCTGCGCTTATTTTCTTGTCTTCTCTTCGAAAGAGATGCAAATAAAATAGTAAAAATGATATAATGTATATATTTTATATTTTTATATTTTGTTATATTCACAAAGAAATCTCTTCACTTAAGAGTTTGCTATTATAGGTTCAATAATAGCAAATTCCTAAGTCAATGAAAGCTTCCAAGAAATTCTTGGCACTTCAAGTAAAACGTTTTTGTGATTATATTTATATAAAATAATTCCTACAGAAGTACAACAAAAAGGCGTATTTTTAAGGATGGCTTTAAGTCAAGGTAGGTGCGATATTCTTCTGCCAAGCACTTGGCCTAAACTTGGGAAAATTTTACAAACAGCAAAACGTCGCTGGCTGATAATCAATTTTGATAACTTGTTTATTATCCCATTTCTCCTGTTATTGCTTAAGCCCTCGTATTTCACCATACTGTAGGCGATCTTTGGCGATGCTGACATAACTTACAATCGATCACTGTTCCTTACCAGAAGAAATGAGAAAAAAAGAATGACATATTTCTGGTAAAAATATCTGCACCTAATCATCTACCACATGTGGAATTTTGGATAACCACAGAAATATTCCACACTTTTCATAATCCTATATTTAGAACGAAATAAGCAATAAATTCATATAACAATAATGACAAATTTTTAAGGTCGTTGTTCAATATCATTCGGTAAAATATCATGGAATGGATTCCACCAAAATTAAGCTATGATGGCAAAATTTCGAGAAAGCCCAATACTAAGGACTAAAGGAAACTTGCTCCAAACGCGATCTTTGCCAGCATCAAATAAAACATGACATTGAGGAATTCTCACTACGCCCATTTTTAATTACATTCGTTTGACGATTTTTTGTAGGTATCATCGTGCACCAGTACCACCGTCTTGTCATTTTTTTGCGCGACAATAACACATGTATTTTTGATCGCTTAATTTGTTTTCGAGATAGTTGTGAATTGCGTGTTGGGCATAATTATTATTTATAGGCTTTTTTATTACCGTGAGTAAGGCATAGTGTATTTATATAGATTTCTTCTTAGAAAATTCCTCCCAGAATTTGTGCCATTTTTATCACGATGAATAGCTATTTTTCAAATTCGATTCTTGATGGAAAGACGGCAATGACACATTTTTGAATTTTATAGTTTTCGGTTGAAAACGGGCAACCACACTTGTGTAATAAATTATTAATTATTAAAATTATTAAAATTAGTGGCTTTTTTGCCATTACAACTGTATAAAAATTTAAACAGTAAGTATGACATGCAAAGTATCCGAACAGTGTGTATCCGGTTTCAGTGGCGTAGCGAGCCCGACAATTTAGTCATGCTATGCTAATATTTTGGTGTTCATCGATTATGAAAACAATGAATTTCTAAAGAAATGAATAATGATAATAACATAAAATTTGCATAGCATGACTAAATCGTCACGCTGGCTACGCCACTGTCCGGTTTATCGGCAGGATATCTTAAACACCACTGTCTCCGCTCGGTGCTAGTGAGATAATGAAATATTCTATAAATATAGCTCTGAATCAAAACACCTGCCTGCGCTTTTACGATTTATACGATCCCAATATGCCGATAGCGTATCTGAGAGTATCCATCATTAGCTCTTTAATTTATTACTCGGAATATTTTATGACCAATTCCCCTGAATGTATGTAGTATAATAATACAGTGGTTAATTAAATACCAATTAAGGAAGTGAAATTATTCGGCAGGGTGCCTGCTGATGGTTTACACTGATCTGAAAATTAATGCTACCATTCTTGTATTGACAACAAACAGAACGAAGCTCAATCTTGAAGTGAAATTCTACTTTTGAAAGGTAACCTATAACTATTATGCTTTGCAACAGTCATTTTCTAGGAGAAATATTTGTTAGGCATACGCCGCTATATACGTGCTTTAAAATGACTTATTTTGTTTTAACGTTTGTTTGGCATACGCCAAGTTTATTTAAGGTAATGTCATGGATCATAATCACAAAACGATCATTTGATAGTCAAAAGTTCCTTATGAATTCCTTGTACCATAACTGTGGAAACACCGTGTCAGTGTGTCGTAATGTTTGATTGCAAATATAATAATATCATTGTTGAATGTTGTAAATTCAAGAAAATATAGCCATGCGGAGTTGACAAATTTTGTACGCTTTTGCATTACTGCCGGAAGTGTTATAACACATTCCCACACGTATAATACAAAAGTATAAAAAATTTGCCAACTTCGTATTGCTATATTTCCCGCAATTTAAGTATACTCTTTCTAGCTCTTGTGGTTTATTTCCCTCTTGTTACTTCTTAACATAAAGTCTTAACGAAGCTAATATAGACACCTTATAGGATATAACAACACCAACTGTAACGGCAACGGCTGGTGTACAGTAATCATCATGAAATTCATGAATTAGCACACAAGACTGAAATGAGTGTTACAAAGTTCAAGAGAGTTTAAACACTGCGACGTTTTGCATACAACGGCAAACCGAACAATCTAAAACGCCAACGCTTGACATGCCGCGATACTGAAGAATAATTAGTTATAAATTCCTTAATAAAAATAAATTCCTTAACAAATCTGAAAGCTTAGTGTTTAAAAACTTAATGCAGTTCCAAAATGATAGCCTTCTCATGTAATGCAGTGTAAAGTTATGAGAATATCAGGATGGAACGATCGTATTCTTAATGGTTATACTTATACAAAATTATTTTTCAGTAACAAATTTTGGGTATTTTCGACTTTGAGGTAATTTCAATTAATAACCTTTAAAGTATTGAATAATAAACTGATATAATAATCTCTTGGCAATTTAGACGTGTGCAGCTTCAGATCGTTTTTCTGCATGGTATAATTATAGGACTTAATTGGTGCCTAGCACTCTCCAGCTCAGCCACAAGCATATAAACTTCTGGTTGTTTTTTTCGTTTTTCCTAGAAATAAAAGTGATCGATACTCCTTATGGGTAATCAATGGTTTCTCTACTTTCTTTTGTTCACTTTGGGTAAGTTACGTTAAACCTCGCAAAGAATGGTTTAAGCATAATTGCATGCTTAAAAATTCCAAGTTGTTGAGCTCCAAATTAATTGGAGTCATGATACAAAATTTTTAGAAATTGAACTAAAATCCGATTAATATTATTTGGGCTAAAGACTTTTCGTGTTTTGGTGGACAAGTTCTCGTATGAATTTTACAAGAGAAAGTGGCTAATCCTAATACTTTTGTGTTGCATGACAATTATAATACGTTCCCTGTCCGACAATCGTCTTTTAGCCACGACAGGAGATCCATTACATATTGGCGGACGGCTAAGAGCTTGCATTTTTAGTATATGAAGCCTGTTTTCCACTTGGCGGAATTTTTATTTGTTTTTCTCACATAAGTTCTGCGTGAAAGTTCGCAGACAATAAAAGTCCGCTCCACACGCAAAATTCCACCTAATGAAAAAATAGGTGGCAGAGCAGATTTACCCATGACCGGCGCAAGGCATCTCCATAACACTTTTGTCCGCATGCAAAGACAACCACCCAACCATTCAACCACCACTAATCCTAAGAAGCAGCGCCGCGGATTATTTTTTCTAGATCCGGTCAAGGGCACCGCTCACAAAAATATTAAAATTGTTTGTGGCTGCATGGAAGTACCTTTCAAGATCAGGGTTTAATTTGATCATCACGTTGATTAAACCTTAAAAACATCGGAAAAGACCAACTAGCTTTCTCTCAACTTTTAGCCTATTGAAAATCCAGACTTCCCCTTTAATACCCGTAATAGCGGCCCAGTTCGAAACAAATAATCAGACGCTTTCATCGCATACAAAGTCTTTTAAACAACAGCGAAAAAAACTTAAAATAAACAAATGTAGTCAGATAGTTCTGAAGAAAAGGCTCTGATCACCGATTTGCAAGATAGGCAGAAATTTATTTATTTTTACAAAGTCTATTTAATTCAAATAATTTATATGATGCAGCATCGTTTTAAACATTAAAGCCGTACAGAAGTGCTGCCTGTTTCTTGATATTTTGATAGGCCAGTATTTACGTAGCAACCAGGGATCGCAGAAGATCCTGCCAGAACCAAAGGTTCTGGAGTCAAGACCTTGAGCATTGTTTTCGTGTTAAAACGTATCGATTTTGAGGAATAATATTTCGCAAGTTTTTTTAAAGTTTAAAGAATCTGATGTATATTTCTGCTGGCTAAACTTATTTGTTTTAATTTCAACGATGTAGACGAGTGCGCAGAGGCGGCATGTGGTTTAAACTCAAACTGTGCAAACACAATCGGTTCGTATCTCTGTGAATGCCAAACTGGTTTCAACGGATACGATGTATGCGGGCGCCAACGTCGAAACTTTAGGTCTTTATTTGATTTTTGTAGCCTTTCCCACTAATGGTTGTGCAAAGCTCAACAAATAAAATTAGGTATAGTTGACAGAGAATAACATCACGTAAAGATATATTTTCTATCACCGGATAATTCATACTTATATAAGAATGTTTGATGTCCAATGAAAATGTCATTGCTCCCCAAAAATAACATTTCAAATAAAAGTCATTACCATTGCGATATTCTTACTAACGAGATACCATTGACTTTATAAAATCTATGGCTTACAGTTACTTACCTGAATATAGAATATAGCTCCTCCCCGCAATTATCGATGCTAGCTACGTCACTGCTAGAATGATTCATTATTCGTGATCTTAATGTGTTCAGCACGTGAATAGGGTGTATCAAAAACGGCAACACTTAATATTCTAAAATTCATATTGTTCTTAAGAACAATAGATTTTAAGCCTTGGACCGGATTACAATAGCTTGTCACCTTGTCTCTACACAATTAAAAGTATTACACAGGGTGTATAAAAAATGCAACCTTATTGATTCCCAGGAGCTTACGATCCTTTGTTAATGAATAGTTGTTATTCAACATATGAATATTAAGTCGAATATTGGCAATTTCTGTCAAAATATATAACTGCCGCAGATTTGCTTATTGCCTTAAGCATTCTGATTGAGTTGATCAAAATGTAAGAAATATGTCCACAGGTACAAACGAATTCTTTTTTTATAAACTGTTTATAGCTTTACTGAATTTCTTATCAGATATAATCGATTGAATCAAATATGTTCAATTTCACCCACAAGAAATCCAGAAGAAGGCACTGAATACATCTTCTACTCAAACATCACTCACATCTCGTACATATCCACTGACGGTGGAGATTCTGTTGCCTTTGCATCATCTGGCAGTGCCACGTTAGATTATGACGAACTGAATTATCGGATTTGGTATACGGAAATGTTAATCTGTATAACGCTAGTTGGATGGAAGTGACTTGCGACGTTTACTGAAAGCGCTAGCTTCTGACAAATTATTTGCTGTTGACGCAGCCAATCAAACTGTCTACTACCTGAATGGTGAAAAGATTAAATCAATCGACTATAATGGCAGTAGTTTACCAGATATTGGGTTAGAAGACGCTGTTTACAAGGACTTTAAAATTGATACTTACAATAGGTAGGCAAAGAACTGAAAACAATTTTTTCTTAAAACTACATACGGACAAAAGAGAATCTTTAATAGCATATTACACGTTCATTATTAATATGAAAACCTGTTGTCAGACGTTGGAAAAAAGCTAACTTTAGTCTTTAAATGACTTGCTACGTTTTGGTAACAAAATTACTTTGGGCATCGCCTTTTAACTCTTGTTTCAGAGCTGTCAAAAGCAACCATTCGGAACGATTGCTCAAATAGAAAAAAATAAATTCGCTTCGCGGAAAAAATGTCGGATTGTAGGGGGGGCCTAGTTGATACGTCGCTTTTGTTCGCGTCGAATGCAATTTAAACAATAGATAATGAAATGATCGACCTGATTCATTACCAGCTCATTACCTATTGTTCGAATTGCATTCGACGCGACCAAAATACGACATACTGTGTATGTAACCCTGGCCATTTTGGTCACGTCGAATGAAAGTCAAACAATAGATAATCAGATGATAATGAAGCTTAATCATTGAGTTTCATTATCTCATTGTCTATTGTTTGAATTGCATCGAGGGCCTGATTACTGCTTTTCTCGGCGTTTTTTTTTCGCGTTTTCTTTCTCACAACTTACAGTCGCGGCAATAAAGCATTTCGAAAAATATCGAGTAACTCATATTTGTTGTATTCCGTAAGCAAACTGATAAATTTGAGCAAATGAATTACTCAATATTTTTCGGTATTACCCCCCAAAATATATTACCCCCCCCCCCAATAGAACGAGGTTATGAAGTGTGGGTAAATAAAGATAATCTGCCTAATCTTCAAATATATATTTGGCGCTTTTGATTTTCTCCAAATAGATCAATATTTCTCACTACTGATACAACGAACAATCGCAATCTCATCCGGTACAGTCTTGCTGATGGAACTATTCATATTCTTCACTTTGGTGTCAATGAAATAGGCACTCACCTTGCGCTTGATACCGTGAATAAAACCGTATATTGGATTCTATTTACAACTGACTCAAATTACAAGATATTGAAAACAACGTACGATGGTCTGACTTCACAGATAGGAACAGATCAATCAGGAGGCATTACAACCGTGGACATTGCAGACGGAAATGGATATTATTATATCCTCGACACCATAACATCACAAATTGATAAATATGATAAATCGACGAATACAGTGGCTGCTACGATTTCACTTTCAACTGAAGCCACAAGAATGATTGTTGTATCTGGTAAGTGATTAAAATTCACGAAGGAATAATATTAATCTAAAGCCCTGTTTACACTACGCGCGATATATGGTACGGTACGGATAAAACTTGCACCCGTACCATTTTTATCCGTGCCCGGACTGCGGGCGGTATTTAACCCGCATGTAAATATTTGTAAACCCAAATATTTTAATACATGTGATGCAAGATAATGTGTATTAAATTACATGCATTAGTAAACACGAAGGCCCATCTGTATCTGCTAAAGTGGTTTTCCATGGTCGCTGATTTTAAATATATCAAAAGTTTATTTTTGGTGGTTTATTAGCCTTAAAAGTTACCGGACATGACGGATGGAGAATTTCATGCAACTTAAACAAAAGAAAACTTATTTGCAATTCCCGATTTGACGTCATGTGTGGTAACATTAAAGGCTTATAAATCCATCGAGATTTTTCCACAAAATTTTTCAATAAGAAAATCTATTGCAAACTTAGAATACCTTAACTTTTGATTTATTCCAAATCAGCCACCACGGTGTAGGCACTTAACGACGAATCTACACGCCTAACGCTGGTGAATATTCATAAATATTCTTAATATTCATAAGTATACTTAAATATAAAGAATCGTTCTCACCTTTTTTCTTTTAGATAAGGATTATTGTTTTTTAAATAATACTTGTCCTGCAAACTCGACGTGTACAAACTCTCCTGGTACTATCGTCTGCTCATGTGACGAAGGATTCACTGGGAATAAAACAATTTGTGAAGGTATGAAATGAATCAAACGAAATTAAACGACTTTATCATGTTTAGTAATATAAAAATAATTAATATGATCATAGATGGAGATGGTCCTCATTCTAAACCATTAGAACGCAGTCTATTTAATTCAAATATATGTTGCAGTATTGTTTTAAACATTAGACCCGTATAGAAGTGCCGCCTGATTTTTCCCTATTTTGATCGGCCAGTAATTACATCACAACCAGGGATCGCAGAAGATCCTGCCGGAGCCAAAGGTTCTGGAGTCAAGACCTTGAGCATTGTTCTCCTTTTAAAACGCGTATCGACCCCAACATTCCTTTTTTTGAATTTGAATGCTATTTTTTCATGCTTGTTTTTTGAGGAATGACATTTTGCAAGTTCTTTTAAAAGTTTAAGGAATCTGCTGTGATATTTTCTGCTGGTTTAACTTCGTTTTAATTTCAACAGATGTAGACGAGTGCGCGGAGGCGGCATGTGGTTTAAACTCAAATTGTACAAACACAATCGGTTCGTATCTCTGTGAATGCCAAGTTGGTTTCAACGGAAATGGTAGAAACTGTGCAGGTAAGATACTATTGGATGTATGCCAATACATCTGCTGGCGCCAACAACGTCGAACTTTAAGTTTTTCATTGATTTTTTGTAGCCTTACAATTCACTAAATAAAATTACGTATAGTTGACAGAGAATAACATCACATAAAAATATAATTTTTTATCACCGATAATCACTTTATAAAGAATGTTTGACAAATTAGGAAATTTTCGTCCAATGAAAATGTCATTGCTCCCTAAGAATAACATTCGAAATAAAAATTACATTGACTTAAGCGACATTAATTTTTTATTTACCATTGACTTAGGCACCAGCTTCACAGGTACGCTATTAAAATGCTTTGTGTACGATGCTGCCTAATCATAGCCAATAAACTGTAAGTTAGTTTGGGTTCAACACAGTCAAATATTTAAGTATAGTGAAAGTTATATCATTTAGTATAATTATGGCATTACGTCACTAGATTCCCATAATGATGTTGGTATAATGATGTGTAAATAACTTAATTATACTAAGATGAATCATTATAATTATGTACTTATTTAATTTAATTTTTTGAAAGTTTCAGGTCGTCTTAGCGAAATAAATTATAGAGAATTCGAAATTCATTATCTTATATAAGATTTGAAGAATTTTTGGTAATTTATGATTATAGATATCAACGAATGTGAACGGGATGCTCCGTGTCATACAAATGCAACTTGCACAAACGTGGATGGATCATACTACTGCGCTTGCAAAGCAGACTACGGTGGAGATGGCTTCTTTTGTGAAGGTTGTATATACTCGGATAAAGTGAGCTCTGTTTAATTTAGACTGGAACCATGACCGATCATCAACAGCGCTGACGTAAATAATAAAAAACTTGGCACTAGTTTTTCAAGTTGCTTCCAATTTGCTATAAAATAACGGTTGAGTTGTCGTTCCAGTGCACATAAAATTTGACTACGTCGTACATAGTTATGTTTTATACATTGAAAATACGGTCTGACTTAAGATATTGCCACATGTTTAGGCGCAAGAAGCATATAGTACCATCTATTAACTCATGTTATTTATTTCTGTCGCTACATAGCTCTCGTTTGCACAGTGGATGCCATATACTATGCAACAACCAGTGCTATTAAAGGCGTATTCTCCGACGGTAACTCGACTGTGACCATATTATCAGCAACCAACGTGAAACTAAATTATGATTCTGGCACCAAAAGGCTCATCTACTACGATGGAAGCAAACTCATCACAGTTAAACTGGATGGGAGTGATCCGATCACAATCAGAGGATCTCTGACGACGCTTGACCGGTTTACTGTGGATCATATAAAAAGAAAGGTTTACTTCATTACTAATCTTTTCAGGAAAGTGAGTATCGTTGACTTGGATACTGGAAATTTAACTGATCTAAATCCAACCGACATTGTCAATGCCGATGACTTGGACAGTGATCCAACTAACAGGTACATATATTACTAAAATTTTGATAAAAATGGGAATCACAGAATGAAATCCAAAAATACTTTAAATTGGGCAATTCAAAACAGATATTTTTAATAACTTTTGTGTTGCTTATGGAAAGGGTGTAGAGGATTACCGACAATTAAAATTTCGAGTCCGAGGTTTGGCTAATACCTAAGGGGTGGTAACGATGATTGTTTTCGATGAATTAGACGCATAAATATAGTTAACCCCAAAAGAAGGGGAAAATAACTAAATTTCGAACCTTTTGAGAAATGCCGTAAAATGTTGAAAACTTAGCCGTGTGGAGTTTTCACTTTTTGTATAATCATTCTTTGTTTCACGCGGTAAAAATTGAGAGCCTTGTCGAAAGTATAAGATATAATGGTGGGAGTGTGTAAATAATTTTCCAGCTCATTAGAGATACACTAGATTAATTATCAAAACAACCCAAAACGACGGCATGGTTTGGCATGTTTTTAAGGAATTTCATAGTTTGAAATTATCTTGGAGGAAGGTTGAACACGTACAATTCTGGGCAATTGGAATGCTTGCGATACAATTGTTCGTATTTGTTGTTGCATATTTGGCTAATTCTTTATTCTTTCTGTCTAGCATTTTAATTCCATCAAAAATTTCATTCAAATTATTTTCATTTTTCATGAGAGCACAACATGTGGTTGAAAACACTTGTTCATTGAAGAAAGATAATTGAGGACAAGCTATATTTTGCAATACATAGACTAAATACTCAATCTTTTTCTCCCATTTAGTACTCTTGTATTCGCTGATATCGAAAACGGCGATATCGTTCGCTATTATCTCGACAAAGATACCCAGGAGATTATTTACCATAGCAATACGTCACCAAAATATCTTGCCGTCGATTCTCAATATGAAGTGATATACTGGATTGACTATATCAGTGCCACCAATAGTTTTTCTCTCATGAAAACACATTTTAATGGTTCAACTTCGCAAATCAAGTTATACTCTGGTGTAACAAGCTCAGTAAACGTTGCAATAGGAGAGGACTATTTTTATACAATGGATAGCACAAGGCAAAGTATAGATAGATTTGACCGACCCACTGCTACTTTTCAAGCTTCATTTGATCTCAGCGACAAACCACAGGAGATCACTGTTGTTCAAGGTGGGTAACCTTTACGAACTTTGTAGATAATTAAAGGACAAAAATATAAAATTATGTTTTTGAGGAATTTCTGATGCTATGATATGTTCAAGAAAAATTTAGAAATTTATGATGAAATTATTTATATTTACGATGATAGTAAAGTTTCGTAGTTGGCCCTGAGCTGTATTACATCAGGAAAGGACGTGGCTGGAACGCCTGGAACGAAGATTTTGATACCACAGTCGCAATTTACGGACGCAATTTACGGACACAATATCACCGACATGATGTGTAATTGTGCAAAATTAAATAAAAAAGACAACCAGCTTTTTGTTGCTAATCGTTACAAGTTCCGGAAAATACTTTAGATCGAGTAAAGGATTTTACAAGTATTAAGGTGGCACTAACGCATTTCACGGTACCCTTGCTTACAAATGTAATAATCAAGTTAAATAAGTTTAGTTCATTCTTACAATAAATTTTCAAGGGAAGTGGATGCCATTAATGAGTGAATAAAGTGTATAATTATTATGCAACGTTTACTTTACCAAAAGCATGCAGAAAACACAAACTGTAGAAATGAACGCAAAACCACAGAAAATTACAAGACTGAAGCCGCGCTCAGGCTGGAATAATAATTATGTTATTAAAAAACCCTAAAAGATATCAAATGTCTCTTTTTAGACCTAGACGAATGTTGTGAAGGCGGGTATTGTCATGATAACGCAACGTGCACCAACACTCCAGGGAGTTATTTCTGTACCTGTAAACTTGGATTTACCGGAAATAACACATATTGTCAAGGTACCATTAAAAATTAACAATTGTTACAATGATATTGTTAAGTAACAATAATAAGAACAGAAGAACCTCGCATGTTTACAGCACCAAAAACAGAGTTCAATATACCCCGACAGTACAGAATTAATTTGCGATCGCATTTCAGACGTTGATGAATGTCAAACATCTTCTCCATGCCATCCCAATGCTACGTGCAATAACACAGATGGATCTTATATTTGCACCTGTGATTCTGGATATACTGGAGATGGATTTAATTGCACAGGTAAGAGAACGAAAATAAAATTTTTACCAAATGTTTCAGTAAAAAACAGTAAATGAAAAATGAAAACGTTAAAACTGCTATTTCAGATGTTGATGAATGCTTAGTATCTCCCCCATGTCATTCCAATGCTACGTGCAATAACACAGATGGATCTTATTTCTGCACATGTAATACTGGGTATACTGGAGATGGGTTTAACTGCACAGGTAAGACAACGAAAATAAATTTCTTACCAAATGTTTCAGTAAAAGACAGTAAATGAAAAATGAAAACGTTACAACTGCCAATTCAGATGTTGACGAATGCGTAGTATCTCCCCCATGTCATCCCAATGCTACGCATTTGCAAAAACGTTGGCCGCAGATAGATAGATACTCGAAGTCTAATTAGAATTGCATATGATTACATTTGCATGGGATGTCTATAATATTTCACAACATATGCAATTCTAATTAGATTTCGAGTATCTATCTATCTATCTATCTGCGGCCAACGTTTTTGGAAATATATATATATATATATATATATATATATATATATATATAATATATAATAATATATATATATATATATAATATATTATATATATATATATATATATATATATATACACTGGCGGTCAAAAAGGACTGCTCAAATGTCTCTATTATCGTATGTAACAGGAATCGTAACAATTAATCTTTTATTATACACTAGCTGTCAAAAAGAACTGTTTAGTAACAAATTTATAAAAAAGAAGTGAATATATGAGAGAGCTTCATAAGGCATTTTGGATAATTCTCTTATTCTAAGCAATATTTCAATAATGTAATGCAACCTACCACCATTCCAAAATATAGTCAAACAATGGTTTGAGAAAGAAGGGCTGACAGAAATGAATTGGCCTGCACAGTCAAAAGACCTTAACCCTATTGAAAATCTGTGGGACAATGTCAAAGGGATAGTGCAAGAAAGGAATTCATTCATAAAGCGTCCATGATTAATGAGTTGCTGTAAAGACTGTCCATAGGATGAATTTCTTTTGACCGTTAAGATAACCACCTTAAGAGAAAGTATGCTCCGCCGGTGGAAGGCCGTCAACAATTATAAGGCCAAAGGAGGGTCAACAAAATATTAATATTTCATATAGCTTAGCATGTAATCTAGTCCATACTTACTCGTATATATTGTTAGAGGGACAGTTACGTTCATTTGAGAGAAATTCAACTTGTTTTGAGCAGTTCCTTTTTCACCGCCAGTGTATATTATAATATATATATATATATATATATATATATATATATATATATATATGTATACATATATATATATATATATATATATATATATATATATATATATATATATATCTATATATATATATCCAATATATATATATATATATATATATATATATATATATATCCAATATATATATATGTAAAATTTCCGTTTTTCAGGATATTTTGCAGAATTAGGCAAATTTTTGTGTTCCTAGAGATTGATAAGACTTATCTGGTATACCTAGGCCAAGTTTGGTTTTTCATTAACAAAATTACGTTACCGGGGGGGTGGTTCCTTTCCACTGATATTGAGAGGGCTTGCGCGCGAAAATGTGAAGCTGAAATTGAAATATGATTTAGTTGTCTAAAAGTAGGAAAGCCTTTTAATAAACTGTCAAAGTTTCAGGGAAAATAATGCAAACTGGGAGCAACGCGCGACCCCTAAAGGTGACAAATATTTCATTGCGCGCAGTGGATTAAATGCATCGTTGATTTTAGCGTGACCGATCTCATGTAAGGCTGGGCAAATGAATAAATTAAAGTGAGAAACTGAACACAAAAACAAAGCGATTTATTCGTGATGTTAATACTCAGCATGTCCACCATTTCATTCTAAGCAAACTGCGGCTTGTCTAAGCATACTAAACACTGAACAGCGAACCATTTGTCTGTCCATTCGCCTAGATTTGCCGGTGGTAGCGTAGGCGATTTGCAAGAAAGAATTTCGAACGAAATGGATAATAGGAGGCAGGACAGACAAATGTGGTTCGGCGTTCAGTGTTTACCATGCTCAGACGAGCCGCAGTTTGCTTAGAAAGAAATGGTGGAAATGTTGAGGATTAACATCAAGAATAAAAATCTTGTTATTAAATCGCTTGTTCAGTTTCTCGCTTTAATTTATTCATTTGCCCAGCCTTGCATGAGATCGGTTACGCTAAAATCAACCATGCATTTAATCCACTGCGCGCAATGAAATATTTGTCACTTTTAGGGGTCGCGCGTTGCTCCCAGTTTGCATTATTTTTCCTGAAACTTTGACAGTTTATTAAAAAGCTTTCCTACTTTTAGACAACTAAATCATATTTCAATTTCAGCTTCACATTTTCGCGCGCAAGCCCTCTCAATATCAGTGGAAAGGAATGAAAAACCAAACTTGGCCTAGGTATACCAGATAAGTCTTAACTATCTCTAGGAACACAAAAATTTGCCAAATTCTGCAAAATATCCTGAAAAACGGAAATTTTACATTTGGGACATTTTTTTTGATACACTCTGTATATATATATATATATTACATATATATATATATATATATATATATATATATATATATATATATATATATATATATATATATATATACTCGAAGTCTAATTAGAATTGCATATGTTTTACTTTGCATGGGAATTCAATCATATTAGACAACATATGCAATTCTAAATTAGATTTTGGGTATCTATCTATATATCTATCTGCGGCCGGCCATCCATATGCTAGCATCGTTCTAGAAATGCGAAGGTCGCGGGTTCGATTCCCACCGCGGTCAAGTAGAATTTTCTGCTTGCCCGGTTGGTTATACTTGTGTAGAAAGAACATATAAAACACATATCACATATAACCCCACAAGTGAACACATGGCTCAATTAAGAGCAAAAGTATATATATATATATATATATATATATATATATATATATATATATATATATATATATATATATATATATATATATTTACATATTTATATATATATATATATTTATTCAGTTATAATTGGACCTTTTCTAGACTAATCATTTTTTAATATCTATACGTATTTATTATCTGTAGGTCCACTGTAATTTTTACCTTAAGCTGGATTATTAAAGAGCTTATTATTACTTAATAATACCAAAAATCTGTGTGTAATCAATCTTGCTCGTCGAAACTGTCCATCAATAATGTTAAAAAAACCTGCATAGAATGCTCTGCATGAACTTTGTCTCGATTCACATTGACGGCCTTGACCCACCTAGGTTCTTGAAAATGAAGTGAGCCGCCATTCTCAGTATATTACTGATTTTACAGATGTGAATGAATGTTTGGAAGCTCCATGTGGCTTTAATTCAATCTGTACAAACACTGAAGGATGGTACGTTTGTGGATGTCAAATTGGATATGAAAAAAACACTGCAGAAACTACGAATTGTGCAGGTAAAACTATGCACTCTCCTAATTGAGAGTTCGCAGAAGAACCCTCTTTGTTTTCATATAGCATTTTTCCTTTACCTGCTTCGTCTAAAAAAGAGCGTATGGAAATACTAGTTATATTGAATCATATAATACGAAGTATTTACTATTCTAGGAATAAGCAAGAAGAAAAAATAAACAGAAAAATTTTATTTCTTTTTATTCTTTATTCTTTATTTAGATGTTAATGAGTGTGCAATAGGCCTGTGTAGTTTAAATGCCAACTGCACAAACACGAATGGTTCATATTTTTGCAAAAGTGGTTATGAGGGAAATGGGAGAATCTGTTTAGGTAAAAACTTGGCTATTTCTATTCTGCGCTTATTGCTTGTCTTCTCTTCGAAAAAGATGCAAAAAAAATACGTAATATAAATGTATATAAATGTATATAGATATACATTTTTATTTTATATTTTGTTAAATTCACGAAGAAATCTCTTCACTTAAGAGTTTGCTATTATAGGTTATATA